CGTGGGTTTAGAGGTGGCAAGAGCATGAGGAGGTGGAGGAGAAAGAGGGACAAATGAGTCCGTGTTACAAAGCATCTGAAGTACAAAAACACAATATAAAGACTATAGTAAATACACTACTGTAAACAGGATACATGACAGGATACCCCAGAAAAGTGCTACGTCCTCTTTTGTCCTGGCGGGGAATTGCTTTGCAACACTCCCCAGGAGGCGGAGAATTCCAAGTCAAAATGTCTCCGTCAATGCATCTGCGTCTCCCTCATAGGGCTGACGCAGAAACATAAACTAGGCTTTAGCTGCTATCAGACTAGCTGTTTGCTCATCAATCCCCTCATTTATAAACTATTTCTCCCAAAGGAGGCCCCACAGGAAGTAAATCAGTAAATCTTTATCATTTTTAATGAGAAATGACTCGCACTTGTATAGCACCTTTCAGAGTCGGAGGACTCCAAAGCGCTTTACACTACAGTGTATCATTCGTCCTTTCACACACACATTCACACACTGATGGTGATGAGCTACGATGCAGTATGCATTTTGGTCTTTTCACATTGACAAACATATTGGAGCGGAGACTTGTTTGCATCATTGCTGAAGAATATTCAGACACACACGTCCTTGAGTGTTTTGAAACAGGAATAAACCTGAAGAGAAATGATGCTAAAGTTGATCTAATACCTCATACAGCCTTCCCCCAATTATTATCAACTCTAATGAAGTAATACTTATATGTACACCAGATATTTGGTGGATCTGTTGTAGTTTTGTGTTGTTTCTGGCTTTGGAGCTTTTTTACAGGTAAATTTACATTAAAAAACAGCAGCAAACTCACGGTTTTTCTAAACCAAAATTTCTCTCCTTATTAAAGGCAGAACCACTGACCTTAAGTACAATTATGCTTCTGTGACTTTAATTAGATTGATCAAATTATTTAAATCTGGGCTTGTTGTTTAAAGTAATAAATAATTAGACTGACAGTTATTAAAATCTATTTTTTATGCTGTAGAGTCTAAACTTACATTTGAACAGAAATATGTTTGGACATTGTTTCCTTTTCTTCTACACTTCCCGTTTCTTGGCACCAGGTTTTGTCTTTTAGCCTTTTCAGTACTTTAACATTAGTTTCTCCTGCTCGTCCTCGTCTGAAAACCAAACAACCGAAACGACTGAATAATTAACGGAGACAAGCTGCCTGCATGAGCAGACGCCAAAACACGAATGGCCTAATTTAAGTTACATTTCAGCAAAGAGATTTCTTGATAAAAACTGAACTACTGAGTCACTGTTTTCTCTTCATGTTACTCTGAGTCATGAGAGAAAACCCCCTGAGCCACATTGTTTAATGATACGACACGTTAAATACAAGCAGTGATTATTTAATCAAAATAAATGAGACTGGAAATAGTTATTTGTAATAAGACGTCATTTAAAGCAGGATGGTACCATCTGCAGGGGCACAATCCAGAAGCTGTCGAACTTCAGTTCTCTATACATATTTAATAAATGCAGTGCTCTCATCTTTCTTCATTAGAGTGATATACAATTTAAAACAGGGATAGAACAGTTGTCCGCAAATACTTTTAATTTCAGACTGTTTGAGAGGGAATTCTTTAACGAGCAAAAAGAAATAAATGTAGTTGGTTTTTTTTTTACCATTTTATTTACTTTTACTGCATGTTTTTACCAGGTTGTACCATATTTTTTATTGATTGGTTTTCAATTTTAGACTCACCATGTATTTCAGTTAATTTAAACAACAATAGTTCATGTGTTAAAGGTTCCATGTCAGGCTATTTAAAACTTTTGAGAGCAAATGTGGCCATAGAATATGATAAAACATTACCGAAGGCACTACTGAGATGCCATTAATCCCAAACTTGAGTCATTTTCATCAGCTTGATTCTATACAGAAATAAAATGCTTTGTTCGTTAGTTATTGTGTCGGCTATGGTAGCCCAGCGGTAAAAGGTCTGCATGAGCACTCTAACCACTAGACTACCAAGTCTGTCACATGACACTTGTCGCCTAGGCCACATATCCTAAGCTGGTCTGCGGAAACGGGTTTCAGACCAAAGTCTAGCTTCCGTGGGGGTCGGGGGGATAGGGCCTGATGTTGGGAGCAGGAAGATGGAGTGATGTATAACTTATGCATTAGGTTGTTTCAGGAATTTCAAAATAAAATTCTTAATTTGCAGCTGAAGCAGAAAACTGCATGAACGCAGCCAGAAATGGGTTTGGGGTTATTTTTCATGAGGAAACAATATTAGAAGCTAAAAAGCTCAAAAAAGTGTATTTTCCATGATACGGCCCCTTTTAATCTAGACACTAGGGATGCGTAATATACTCGCATCAATGTCGGTATCGGCAGATGTTTGTCATTTTTTAACATATCAGTATCGGTCTGATAATTAAAACTGGGCCGATATTAACAGCCAATATTTTTTCCATCTTGTTTCCATTTGTTTATCTGTTTCAGAGGGTGAGGGGTGTGTGTGTGTGTATTTGTTTAGTCATGTGACAGTGATTGTAATCATCCCAGAAGCGTAAGTGTGTGTGGTGTGTGTACAGAATAACATACATTCAGCTTCAATAATGTTCATTCTATACATAATCTGCTGCTTTTAAAAGCATTAATGTCAGTAAATCGGTATTGGCAAATATCTGTTATCGGCCATAACAGTGATATTAATATCGAATATCGCCCAAATATTTCATATCGGTGCATCCCTAGTAGACACCGATGCTCTGCGCCTGTTTCATGCCTGATGTTTTGCACCTGCTGTTTGCTCCTTCTAGTTATCATTTTTGCAGAGCAAATAGCATGAATTAACATGCCTTTGACGTTTGGCAAGTTTGAGTAATTTATACTTCCTTTGCATCTAATTGCAGTTTTTTTGCTGCACAACCTAATGATTAATATTCAGTCACAAATGATGAAAGATAATTCTACCTTTTCTGACATGCCTGTCCATTTTTGTGCAGTACAGCAGATTTCTGCCCGGTCTTAGTTTTTCTCTGAGATGCAAATATGTCTAATCGTCAGGTGACAGCATATGTTTCACACAAAATGCATGTTTCCAACAGTGCAGGCCAAGGATAAGTGATGGTTGTTCCTCAGGTGGAACACTCATCTACCTGTCAGACGGGCGGGTGCTACCCAGTCCATACCCTCCAGTATCACTTCATTTTAGTCCCACACCTCATGTTCTCACACATTCCTGCAGAAAGAAACCATCTCTGAAGGTAGATGACGAGCTGTGTTTCTGGTTACAGATTTATTTTTCATGTTCTCGTCTCTCTTGCAGCCACCTTGAGTCATTTCAGATTGATGTTTTTGTCGTCTTTGCCTGAAGACGGGTAAAGTTAACCATGCCAGGCACAGAACTATTCATATCTCAGAACGGCCCCATTTCATGGGAGTTCATTATGCGTGTCGCTGCTGTGTTGGAGAGGATTATGGGATGTTTGATGGTTTGTTGAACTCATCCTTTGACATTTGGACAAAACAAAAATCCAAAGAAATCATTAGTTTGGTTTATGTCATAAGCAGAATCCTATTTGAGTCCAGCCGCACAGATTCCGATCCCATTTCTTGAGTCATTTCTGGAGTTTTTAACGGTTTCTGTAACTTTCTCGGGTCTTCTCACTGGGTTGTTTGACTAGACGTAAGGACACGACACAAACGGAGGGTAGCCTGAGGCTTCTGGGAACGTCTGCACAAACAAAGATTTTAATGAAAATGTTTTAAAACATACTTTATCCCTCCCACTGTCCTAATAGGTGTGACCCTTCAAGGAAAGTTGACCATTGAGCAGAGTTGATGGTTTATCCCTTGGGTCCACGTGGCAGGGGTGAGGTGGTGCAGGGGTGAGGAGTGAGCACCACCTCACCCCTGCCACGTGGACCCAAGGGATAAACCATCAACTCTGCTCAATGGTCAACTTTCCTCGCGGGGTCACCCTTGGAGACATTGGGAGGGTTATATTAGTTGAGAAAATAATACAATATGATGGATTTTGAAAAGTGGAAACAATTTCTTCATAAATGTATTTGAATTCAAAACAGCAACAAGCACAATTTGTCTTTGTCTGCGTTCTGCGTCTCCCTCATGTGTCCCCTTGTGTTCTCCATCCCTCTCTAGGTTTCCCTCTAGGGTCCCCCTCATGCGTACCCAAGTTTCCTGTGCCCCTCTTTGTCCCCAGCTCCCTCCCGGTCTCCCTCAGGTCTCCCCTAGTCACCCCTCTGTAGTCTTTCTATAGGTTCAGCTTTTCATATTATTAGTCTCCTTTAGTGTGTGTTTCCTTCCCCACTTGTTAGTCTCCCTTACTCCTCAGGTCATTAGTTATTTATTCTTTGGTTCTCCTGTGCCCTTAGTCTTTTAGGTTTATTTATTTAGAGATTAATAGGTTAGGGTTTATCCCCCCTGCTTGGTTTTCCCTTCCCATTTAGTTAATTGATCTCACCAGTCTCCCCTCAGTTCTCTCTCCCCACGAACCAGCTCCTCATCTCCCAATCACCCAGTCACTGTGTATATAACCCTGTCTGCGTCTCAGCTTTTTGTCGGTCCATTGATGTTTGTCAGCGTGCTTTGCCCCCCACTAGGTCTCTGCTCTTGAGTGAGCTTTTGGTTTTTTTGTCTTTCAGTTTAGCTATCAGGTTTTGGCTTCCTGCCTTTTTGGATTCTTTGTTCCCCATCCTAATAAAAGGGATTTTACTTTTACAAATCGCCCCTGCCTCGTGTCGTCTGGTGTTCTGCATCTTGGGTCCTAACCTCCTCCTGCTCACATCGTGACACAATTACAATTTTCAGGAAACTAAATTCAATTAAATTAAAACATAGATGGTCAAACACCCAGAAAATTAATATTTCTTTTACCATTAAGGAAATCAATCTGTAACTGTAACTACAGCTTTGCATTTTTGGTGTTTACCAGTTTATATTTATTCCTAATATGCAAACCAAAAATAAACATTTCCTCCTTTAATTCTTGTGTTCGTAGAGAGGTTTCCCAGATTGACCAGTTCCTTCAGGAAACGGCAGCCCGTGAAGCCAACGCCAAAGTGCGTCTGCAGCAGTTCATCGAGGAGCTTCTGGACCGAGCCGACCGTGCCGAGAAGCAGCTGCAGATCATCAGCAGCTGTGGCACCACGCCAAACGGCAGCCTGGGACGCTGCAGCCTGCAGGCCTCAAAGGGAACCGGACGTCAGGTTTGGACATTAAAACAGAGCTACATAGTTTCTGGAATGAGTTACTCCACAGAGCTGATCGATTAATTAGATGATGCTTGTCGGGAGCGGCAAAAAAGACTTGATGCTTTCAAGGTGAAACAGGAGCGCTGATCCTTGTCTTGTTTAGCATTCAGCACCATTCCTGCTAGAACAGTGAGGCTCTGCAGCAGTTTATCCTCACCAGACACTGAGGCATAGAAAGCTGCCTCTTTGTCCTGGAAACTGGAATCCAGCTCTTTGTCTCCAGGTTCAGTGCTTGAACTACGTGCCACTCACCCCCTTTTATTCTTCGCCTTATTACACAATGATAAAATATCTAAAAGCAGGCAAAGGCTGTTCCTGTAATGCCTCTCATTCAGAGGTATTATCCAACACCTGTGGAAAAGAGGTGACCTGTTTCACATTCTGCAAATGTGTGTGCTGCCATGGAAACCTTCTCGCGCTTGCTCTCAAGGGTTTGACAGGATTTTTAATCAGATGTGGTTCAGATCTGCCTGAGATGAATTTACTATTTTCATTCGAGAGATGATGTTTAGAAATCTTTTCCCCTGGTCACCACGACTTAGCACCCAGAGGTTTCATTGGACACTAACTTGGGGAGTCTGCTCTGTAAAGATCTTAAATAATGACTTTAAAGTGAGTTTCTCGGTTTTTACTTGTTTTATCTGCCGTAGGTCGATGACCTTAGCTGACGTGACCCCGTCCCTAAATTTGGATGATCTCTCAGTCCATGTCTGCATGTTCATGCACCATTATCCTACTGCAAATAATCAGCAGGAGTGTGGAGTCGCATGCTGTTTGGCACCTTGTTGCATTGGGAAGGGAAACCCAGAGATGTCACCAACCAGACAGAATGACTCTATTCTCTCCATCCGGTGTGAGCGAGGTCATCCCCGTGTCCCAGATGGCACATTTCTGAGCCAACGGGTGGCGCAGAGAGAAAGAAAAAGATGACTCGCTCCCTTCTCATCTTTATTCCAATAAGAATTACTAAGAAATCAATTGTTGTGTGCAAGAATCAGAAATATTTCCAATTTTATCCAGATCCTGTGAGATATTTTTTTTCCTTTCACACATTTCTTGGAGACGTGTCCATAAGAGAACCTAAGATGCTGTTTCCTCCATGGTCCTTTTGTCCCTGGCAGCAGAACCTAAACAAATGAACATGAAAGGCAGATAAGGAGAGATGGGGCTTGTGTTGGTGCACTTCTTGATCTGATGCATATTGGCTGCCTGATACATAGAGATCCACCTGGCACACTCTAGTACACACACACACACACACTTGTGCAAACACCAAATGTCTTTGGTGCACAGGCAGCATTGAGTGATCTGTGAAGGAACTATAAGAGGAATTTGTTCTCAGATATATTGTTGGAGATTCAGTTTTCATACATGGTTGAATACATTTTAAAAGTAGTTTCTGTTTTCAGATACAGGATTTTATGGCAGCACAGCGGCTGATTGATGGAAATATCGATTAGAAAGACAGTCTCACGTATCCAAGCGTTTAGTCTTGAACTGGCCGCTGCTGGCCTCATTGTCACAACGTAAAGCCAGGTTTAATAATAATTTTAAACAAGCATGGTTACTCATTTTGACGTCATTCTAGATTCTGAAAAATCGAAATATGACATTTTTATGTGCTTCACGGGTGTTAAAAATGGGTTTTATTGAAATGATGAAATATCTCCAGCATCTAACATTCACAGGCTTTCCGGATCCTTCTGCAGGAAAACCTGACAGGATATTTCTGTTCATGAATGAATCTGTTTGAACAAATTGTTCCACATCAAAAAAGAAAAACTCAGCCAAAAGCCTTTGCATCCTCACCAGCATCCCTCTTTCCTGTCCTCAACATTCCAGTTTTTGCGTGTTCCGTCGTGACGCTTCTACTTAAAAAGCTGCATGTCTCCTGGTCTGATTTAGACTTTCTTTCCTCTTGGCTGCACATTTTTTTCAAAGACAAACCGTCTTCCTTGCTAACATGACAAACATTTGGCTGCATGGTGGCGCAGTGGTTAACACTGTTGCCTCGCAGCGCAAAGGTTGCAGGTTCGAAACTCAGCTGTGGCCTTTCTGCGTGGAGTTGTGTGTTCTCCCCATGCATGCGTGGGTTTCCTCCGGGTACTCCGGTTTCCCCCACAGGTCACAACATACCCTATAGGTTATAAACTGTAAGTCGCTTTGGATAGAAGCGTCTGCCAAATAAATAAACATAAACATAAACATTTGGAGCAAGTACCTTTTTGGGATTCACCAAACTGTTATAAAAGACAGTAATTTAGATAATATCAAGGTTTAATAAACAAATTGCCTAATAAATATAAGATTACTTGAAAATAATTTAATTTGTGTAATCTGTACAACAGACATGCTCTTTAGAGGATTAACTTTCATTTAATTTTATATTTCCTCTCACTGATATGATTTAACTTATAAATATGAAACTCAGTTACATGAATCCAAACAAATAAATCTAATCATTAATAAGTTAAGCAGCCATGTTTCACTTTTGATTGTATTGTGTTAGAATGTGTGGCTTTCCCATGATAACAGTGAACTAGGCTGCTTTATTCATTTTGTTCTGTCTTCTGTGCTCATTTAAATTTAATGAAAGTGCTAATTCCATTTTTGATGATGACACATGCAGCAACATATTTACTTTATTGTGAGAATTCAACAACTACACTTTCTGCAGCAGAACCACCACTTTTCAAAGTGCTTTGCATTTATAGTTTATTGTAAAGCGATTAAACGAAGATCCTATCTCGTCCCGTTTGACATGTAAAAACGACATTTTTCTCTGTGTCTAATAGAAACGTAACCTGTGTGTTTCTTCTTTTAATCCAGAGAAATTCCAGCCTTTCTGGAAGCACAAGAGGAATGTACCAAGTGTCAGAGCGACGTTCCTCCCCAAGCACAGGGTGGGTCAGCCTTCATCTGGAGCTCATCCTCAGCCATAAGGGGTTTACTGATCAGAGTAGCGCCTCACTTAATGCAGCAATTTGGAGTTTTCCTCCTTTCAGTTCAATTCAATTCAAGTTTATTTATATTTCGCCAAATCATGACAAGAGTCGTGTCAAGGCACTTCACGTAGTAAACATTCCAATTCAGGTCAGTTCATTAAGCCAATCAGAAAAAACTTTTCCTATTTAAGGAACCCAGCAAATTGCATCAAGTCACGGACTAAAGCTGGGAGTTGGTTCCACAGGAGAGGAGCCTGATAGCTAAAAGATCTGCCTCCCATCCTATTTTTAGATATTCTGGGAACCACCAGTAGACCTGCAGTCTAAGAGCGAAGTGCTCGGTTAGGAACGTATGGAACAATCAGATCACTGATGTATGATGGAGCTTGATTATTAAGAGCTTTATATGTGAGAAGGAGGATCTTAAAATCTATTCTGAATTTAACAGGTAGCCAGTGTAGGGAAGCTAAGACAGGAGAGATATGATCTCTCTTTTTAATTCTCATCAGAACTCTAGCTGCAGCATTTTGGACAAGCTGAAGACTTTTAATTACATTCTGTGGACTTCCTGAGAGTAATGGATTACAGTAATCCAGTCTTGATGTAACAAATGCATGAACTAGTTTTTCAGCATCACTCCTGGAAAGGATGCGTCTAATCTTAGCAATATTCAGGAATGATGTAGGATTTTTTAAAATCTGTTAAAGTGATTAACATGTTTTACCCTGACCTCCCACTGGAGGCATCGGTGGCGCGGAACGGTTAACTTGTGTGCTTCGCTGCGTGTCAGTCCACACCAGGAGATTCTCAGCTGCAGTGCGGCTTCTCTGACATCCTCCTTGCTGAACTCGCAGGATCACAAAATCCCTCAAGACTTCAAAGGTCACGTTTTTTTTTACCATCCACCATTAAACCAAAAAGAAGGAAATCACGTTTGAAATCACTGTTTGATGTCATAATGTTGTGCCTCTCCACTGCCAGGATTAAAGACATGAAAAACACAGTTGCACTTCAATGCTGGGAGTAAATAAGCCGTCACATGTACAGAAGTAATCTACTGTAAATAATTAAGAAATTGCGTCGCTGCAATAGTCTTTTATTATGAAAATCTCTGAACGTTTTACACTGAAACCATGTAGGATTTCCTGTCAAGCCCTATGTTAACTGTGAAAATTGACGTGTCCCAGAAGCGGCTTGTGGCAAAAGTAGAACCCAGTCCTATTTGTATTGCAACAATCTGCTTCTGGGATAGACCCATAGACTATAATGGATTCTAAGCAGCAGCATTCTGCACCGCTGATGCCTCCAGTGTGAAGTCAGGTTTACTCTGAACTGGGAATATAACAAAGTCACTAAGTACATTTTTTTTACTAAGCCCATCCCCCGAGTGCTGCTCAGCGTCAGCCAACAGTGTTAAACATCCGCTTATGTACAGATGTCGATCACTGAGCCTGTGCGAGCGTCTGTGGACACTAAACTGATGCAGAGTTGACGACATTACTCATCGACAAGTAGGGATGGGTACCTTTGACATTTGAATCGATTCAGTACTAATTTCCGGTACCTACGAATCGATACCGGTACTTAACGGTACCAATTTTCGATACTTTTGAGTGTTTAATATTTTAATTCTCTTTTATAGTTACATTTTTTTTTTCAATATATAACCATATTTGATAAATATCACGATAAATAACATACAACTGTTTGTATTTTAACATCGTCCTTGTAGTTTTATAAGCTGATAATTAAACTGAAGCAAACATCTTTACTGTGAACTAAATTTACTGTGCATCTTCATTCCTTTTACCGTCTTTTTTCAATTGATTTTTCCTACTGGGAAGTTAGAATTTCCGAGGAGAAAGCGAACGCACCATTAGATGATAATAGGAAGCTAACATATCAAGCTAACGTTATCTTAAACAGTTTATTTAGCTGCTGGAGCAGATTAAAACGATGATGCCTCACACTTAAATCGTTGTCGCTGGTTTCATCTTCACCCAATCACCCGTCGCATTTAGTAAAGTGAAGCCAAACTTTAGAGCGCGTTCATCTTCTTCTAGTCGGAAATTCGGAGTTCCGAGGAGAAAGCGAACGCACCATTAGCGAAACGGAAGCTAACAAATCAAGCTAACGTTATCTTACATTTTATTTACCTATCGGAGCAGATTAAGATGAGGATGTCTCACGTAGATCGTTGTCGCTGGTTTCATCATCACCCAGTTACCCATCACTTTTAGTGAAGTGGACCCAAGCTTTAGCGTGCGTTCTTTCTACCATGCTGCTCTGTTTACAACTCGCTCGCAGCGACCGACGACATAACGCTCTTGCGCATGCACAGCTGTCTAGGCAAGTTCTCGTTATGAAGGACGGGTACCGAAACGAGGCACCGTTTTAAATGACGTGAATCGGTGCTCAGTCGGTACTATGGAATTCGGTCGGTACCTTAAAAAGTACTGAATTTGGTACCCATCCCTATCGACAAGTAAGTCTTTAAAATACAACATAACGTGAGAATAAATAATTATAAAACAGCAGCCAGAGGTTCATGAACGAGGGACGTTGTTTTCAGCCGTAATCACGGAAGTAGAAAGAGGGGTTTAAGGTGCAATCCATTTTTTCCGTCTGTAGATGGCGCCCTCTGAGATAAAACTCTGGATTTCTCCTTTAAATGTTCTCCCACTGGTATGTTAAAAAGATTCATTTAATTGCAGTATTACATGAAGAATAAAAAGACGTTTTCTTTTTGCTGTGATGATTAGACGAATGTGAAAAGCCGATCTGGTTTCATTTTTATTTCCTTTAGTTCATTTTTGATCCAGCTGGAGATTTTATGGCTCCTGGACGTTGAATGAATTTGCTGCACCAACGCCGTTACCTGCTGCAGTCAAAAGGAGACACAGTCTGTCATTTTTATGAAACTGAGGGCTAAGGGTTTTTAACCAGCACTCAGTGTGCTCGATGTGCACCTTTATGTGGGAAACGTTACGCTTGTTGGAGGTTTTTGTTTGTAAGAGCAGGTTTTAAAAGCTGCAGAAAAATGGACATAAAACAGTTTTGGAGCTCAATTTTCCCTTCATAGTTTATCATTCCAGTTCCATCATGTCTTTAAGGCATTGCTTTTAGGTGTTATAAAACGTATTATGAGCAGAATCGAATGAGAAATAGCAAAATCATTTCAGGAAATTATCATTGATTTCCTGCAGGACTTGAGTAATATTTTACAAACAATCTTATTGGGGATTAATTACTGTTTCAATGAAACTTATTGTGAAAATCAAGACTTTAATATTTTTGAGACACCAGATTTTAGAGATGCTGCACATGGGCACAGCTGGCTTGCGGCAAGAAAGGTTATCGGTTCAATTCCTGGCTTGGATTTTCCTCCATGGAGTTTGGAGGTTTTCCCAGCTCCTGCACTTGTTTTGTTCAGGTGATTTCTTCCAGAAACATTAACCCATATTGGATGTGGTTTTTATTTGCAGTTTTTATTTTGCTGTTGGAACGGCATCACCTTTCATCAAGTTTTGGCCAAACATGTCCAGTATCACGGATGTATTGTGTTTTGTTTTGACAAAAACTTTAGTTAAACACAGAATGACCCACAGAATTCATTAAAAAGCGTTCATCCTGCCTCTTCCATTAGCTTATTTTGGACTCTTTCGTCAAAAAATATTTATATCTTGAGTAAAAAATACACTTTTGTACATCATTATGTTAAAAGTAAATGCATATTACTCTTTACATTTAGTTAAGTGGAACCAGGTGACATAACTTGTTTAAGTAAATTCAACATTTCATTTCTTAGAGTGATGCATACGGAAGCTGGCAGAGGAAGTGTTTAAAACCTTCTCTTTATGCTGATATCGTCAGATAATGAGTCATGTTATTACCTCAAGATTAAAGTCTTTGTTTTCTTGACATAACTCTCCTTTATTGTTTGTTTCAAACCCAAAATACTCCCAAACTGCAGAAGTCATGTTCTTTTTTGAGACCACGTCTGTTGGTGCGCGACCTGCTTTTTTTATCTCCATCTCTCTTGGTGCTTTTCTTTCGCACTGCCACGTAAACTTTATGGTTTTCACAAGTTGAACAAAACATTTAAAACCATTGAAGTAAAACTGAAAATTGAATCGTGCATCTGTTTTATACGTTGAATTAATTTTATTTATCATTTTCATTTATTTATTTTCATTTATTTATTTTTATTTATTTATTTTTTCATGATGGTATTGGAACTGATACCATTGCTTTTTTAAACACCGCCTGTATACGGTATGGTAAATGGTAAATGGCCTGTGTTTGACATAGCGCCTTCTAGAGTCCTGGAACCCCCCAAGTCACTTTACAACACAATCAGTGATTCACCCATTCACACACACATTCACACGCTGATGGGGATGAGCTACAATGTAGCCACAGCTGCCCTGGGGTGCACTGATGGAGGCGAGGCTGCCGAGCGCCACCGGGCCCTTTGACCACCATCAGCAGGCGACAGAGTTGTCTCTTGCCCAAGGACACAACAGCGACAGACTGAGCGGGGCTCGAACCTGCAACCTTCCGATTACAGGGCGAGCACTTACTGTAACTCCTGTGCCACCATCACCCCATTTTATTAGTGTAACCGGAGTATAGCCCAAGCCTAGGTTCAGTTGGAACGTTTACTTTGTAAAGTGTCTTGAGATGGCTCTTGTTGTGAACTGGCTCTATATAAATGAACTGAATTGAATTTAAAGTAATTGAATTGATCAGCATTAAACAAAAGGATCACCATATCAGGATGAATCGGGACAGAACGGTTTCTAACTTTGATCTTGTGAAGCTCACATCATCAAATCAGGATATAATAACATGTGAGACATATTAATAGTATTTATTATAGTAGTACCACATGATGAAACACACTCGTGTTGCCCAGTAGCATCACCGAAGTGTAGGGTGGGTGTCTCTCTCAACATGAGGCGTGTGTCTGGAGTGTTTCTGGGGCTTGGCTTCACACACACACACACACACACACACACACACACACACACACACACACACACACACACAAACAAAGTGGCCACCTACTTTGGGTTATTAATAGTTAGGAATTTATACATTTTGGCCACTAGTTGGCATCTTTCCCTCAAGTGCACCAGTTTTTGTGACTAATTACCCATGATGGTTAACTATATTAACAACAACAACAACAACAATAATAATAATAATAATAGTAATAAATCATATCTGTCCTTCTCTAATTAAACCGTTTAATATTTCCCTCTTTAACTATTTACATTTTGTTATCGGGCACTAAAATGATCCCCTAGAAGTCGACAGTTATCTCAGTGATATTCATCATGTGGGTCAAGTTTAATGAGCGTCTCATCCTGTCCCGAGTCTTAAATTTGTCTCAGCCAAGCCACAAAGACTTCACGTTAGTCCTAACATTTATTGTGACCTTTAAACATCCTCTAAGTGCTGTCTGCATCCTCAATGATTCTCATGTTACGTCCTTGATGTGCTTTTGTGCATCTTGTTTTGGAGTAAAAGGAGCACAGGGAACAAAAAAAGTAACGAGAATGCTAATTAATAATAATTACAGTTCTTTACTCGTGTTAGCTAATGTTATTTAAAGGGTCCTAACAGGTTGAAAGTTGTCCTCGTTTTGCTAGAAATCATTCAAAATGTGAGCATTTCTTTTCAGTTTTACCCTCAAAGTTTTTAAACTTTTTTCTGATTATCTGTAAAACTGTTATTTTCAGGAAATCAAGGCCTGCAGATGAAACCATTTGAGTTTCTCCCCTTTCATAATGGCGTTAAACACATTTTTAAATGAGAAAAATTGGAAAAAAATGTGCAGAATTCTGCAAATAAGCTGCTGAAAAGAAATGAACGAAGGAGTCTAATGTTAGAGTATCACAGATGGACGTTTTTTTCAAGCATTAGAGGAATGTTTCTCATCTTGGCATGGTGAGTTTCCTCTGGTTGCCTGGCAACCTTATAGTGACTGTCTGTCCAAGGAACAGTCCTTCACTTAACCCTTGTTAAAAACCACAATCTGTCATTTTTGCACCATTTGTTCTGTGTAAAAATCTTAGAAACACAAGAGTTGGTTAGTTTTAGAATGTTTTGAATGACTTTTATCTATAGCTTCATATTCTGCAAGCAGATGTCCATCATGAAGATTCATTTATGTATTACCCTTCAGAGACTGAACTTGGTTTTTATTTTTATTTTTTGCAATCATGATACTCGACATAAAATTAAATAATTTCTTCTTTTCTTCTGCAGAGCTTCAGGACGGGTGAAGTCTGTCTCACAGGGCTCTGGAGGCTACGACAGTGACAGTGTGGAGATGCATCCCATGGAAGAGTGTCCTGAGGCGCAGTACTATCACATGCAGTGTCGCATGGGCGAAGGGGGTTATGAGCGCTCCCCGGGATGCGGGTCCAGAAACTGGGGGCTTCGTAAGCAGGCCATTCAAAACTGGCAGCGGCGACCTTACAGAAACAGCACCGAAGGAGAGGAGGGAGACGTGTCCGATGTGGGATCTCGGACCACGGAGTCCGAAGTGGAGATGTGGGATCAAGAGAGGAGATCTGTGGCAGAAATTCAGCAGTCTGCAGCACCTTATCCTTACCACGGGAGAGCAGCGTACCGCCCTAATGCAGGTAACCGCTGTTTGTGTTTATCCAGAAACGTATTCAGGCAGATAACAAGATAAAAAGCATCTGGATCTAGCTCAGGTTAGATTGCAGTTTCTGTTCTGAAGATCAGTTTCAAATTATAAAGCTTCAATGCATGGACGTAATTTTCACTTTAGAAGTGGGGGGGACACGGGGGGGTGGGGGGTGGGGGGTCGTTACAGGCTTCAACACAAACGGTTGCTTTCCGCTTGGTCCTAGAGCTCAACCAGTGTCAATTTAATATAGTGTAATACTGTTTTGGATGGTAAAAAGTACAGGGGTCAAAACTTGACTTTGGAAAAAGTGGGGGGGACATGTCCCCCCTGTCCCCCCCAAAATTACGTCCATGCTTCAATGGCAAATCTGTAAAACAAGCTAGCTTAAAACACTTTTTCATGTCTCTTACTAACATTCTGACATACGTCCAATCCCAATACTCGCACTTCCACCCTTGCGCCCTTCAATTGTGCGATCCCTGCCAGGGATGCGAGTGTGTAGGTTGTCCCGATCCTCAAGTGCAGATGTTGATCATGGCCCTTTTGCACCCTATGCACCCTGTGAATATTACCCACAATCCATTGTTGCGGGAGAAAAGGCCCAAGTGCTTTTTTTTTGAAAATATGCATTTTCAAATGAAAGTCGTTTATTTTAGGATGATTAGTTGATGCTCTGATTGTTTTAGACAAAGCAGCAATGAACGTTAATTAATTTCAAATTATTGTTTGGTTGTTTGTTAATAAAGGTTTTTTAAATGAGTATCACGGCGACCAGCATCTCGGCACGCGTTGTGATCGATGAGGCAATGCTCCCGTCCCAAATCTGCAATTATTTGCACACCTACCACGCACTTGAAGCCTTACTGAGCACTTTCTTCAAGTGCACTTCACTGAAGACCGTAGGGCGTAGTGCGAGTATTGGGATTGAGCCTTAGTATAGCTACAAATATTGTGTGGAGAAAAAATAATGAAGTGATTCTTTTGCATTTGTCTAAAAACCCCAGCCACTAATTTCGCTCGGTCCGTAACTAACGATCGGGCCATCTGGTTGTCCATCTCACCGAACAACTACGCTTCCACATTTACCTGGGTCCTCCATTTGTTACGCACTCACGTATTTAGCAACAGATCACCACCGGTGTGAGAGGTTCTCCGCTCAATAATATCAGAGAAGGAGAAACAGCCGGCTGCTACCACTTCATCTTCAGGACAAACTCCCAGAGTCCCAAAAAGAAAAACACCATTTGAAGTCACGGACAACAGAAGAAGTTTGGACCTAGAAAACTGCGACTGGTGTTTAGCACTATCTCGTTTACCGAGGCAATGCGTGTTCCCATATCAGGTAGATGTGGTCTAGAGACGATAGTCAACAGGAGGAATGAGATTCCCGTCATCGTGTTTGTTTTGCAGCTTTAAGCGAGGTTCACACAGCAGGATAATCATGCTGATTTTTGACCAACCCAGCCTTCTGGCACTCTTATGGTTGTGCACGATTACCGTAACAGCCCTTAAGATAATATTTGCAGATAATGCTACCTTTTATGGTTTTCTGGTATGCTCGGAAAGACGTCACAAATCCGGGTATTCAAACATGTTGAATTTTCTTGGTCTGATTTTCGAGGACAAACAGGCTGCCTGTTGAATGTGACGTCTACCCAATCAGACAGCAACGTGGAGGCATGCTGCACACGCCATCATTCACTGTGCAGATTTTCTAGCTGAATGCAGCTTCTCCAAACAAAAGTATCTGCTAAAACAAGCCACAAGCTCATATTGACAGTGATTCCAAGTAAAATTTAAACATGATTCATATTTTTGTTGAAGACGGTTCAACAACCATTTAATTCATTGCAGCCAGTGTTCTAATTTTGATGCTTTCTTTACCTGCTCACTAAACAGCATGTCACAGTTCCTCTCAGCACTAAGCTTTGTTTTAAGTCAAGTTAGGTGTTGCTGCTCAACAGATTGTGGATTTTTCTGTTAAAGTCTTGCATGCCAGCATCCTTAGATGCTTCACTGCTCCACTCTTGTCCTTCCATCTGCTGTGGAGTTTTTAAATATCAGGTGGACCTTGGCAGCCTGGGATGGGAAGAAAGTGGGCCAGAGCTCTGTGACAAACTCATACGAACAACTTTGACCTCACCCGTTAATGGAAGAGATTGCCACTGGCGCCCGTCCTTCTGATGTCGTTCTCCTTATTGGGAAAGTTTCTGCCAGGGCCTGGTGGATAGTATGTATCTCCAAGCACACAGATTTAGTCTCTTCATAGAACACACAGCTTGGCTTTTTTAGTTCGTTTGAAAGTCTTGTGTGTAGGTGGAGTGTGTGTGTGTGTGTGTCAGAAAGAGAGAGAGAGAGAGAGAGAGAGAGAGAGAGAGAGAGATTGAGAGAGGGAGGGAGGGAGAGAGAGAGAGAGAGAGAGAGAGATTGAGAGAGGGAGGGAGGGAGGGAGGGAGAGAGAGAGAGAGAGAGAGAGAGAGGGAGGGAGGGAGAGAGAGAGATTGAGAGAGGGAGGGAGAGAGAGAGAGAGAGAGAGAGAGATTGAGAGAGGGAGGGAGAGAGTGAGAGAGAGAGAGAGAGAGAGAGAGAGAGAGAGAGAGAGAGAGAGAAATCAGATAGTGTGCATTGGTTCACAGCCCTGATGGTTGCGAGCAGATGCCTTCCAAGGCCAAAGATGAAGTGAGTGATGTAGGAGCTTTCTTGCCGGGAGGGATAATTCAGACTCGGATTGGATACATGGTATCAGCCGGTGCTTAGCAGTAGATGGATGAAAAGAAAGTGAGAAAGAGAATTATGTAATCCCATTTAGGGTATTTTTGCATGAAGACTGGCGCCACCATGTGATAAAATGTTCCCTTTAAAACTGTTTAAGCGATGGATGGATGGATGGATGGATGGATAGATGGATGGATGGATGGATGGATGGATGGATAGATGGATGGATGGATGGATGGATAGATGGATGGATGGATGGATGGATGGATGGATGGATGGATGGATGGATGGATGGATGGATGGATAGATGGATGGATGGATGGATAGATGGATGGATGGATGGATGGATAGATGGATGGATGGATGGATGGATGGATGGATGGATAGATGGATGGATGGATGGATGGATAGATGGATGGATGGATGGATAGATGGATGGATGGATGGATAGATGGATAGATGGATGGATGGATGGATAGATGGATAGATGGATGGATGGATGGATAGATGGATGGAAAAAATAGAAAAAACAAGTCGTCCATTGTCTTTTAGATGAAGGTGATGGCTGGTGTTGTTTCTTCTGTGTTTCTGCTGGAACAAATATGGAAACCATTACAGTTGGATGAATAACAAAAACCAACAAACCACTTTAGCAACAAAAAAATGAAATCCATTAAAGAAGAAAATATGTAAATAAATCAGCAGCATTTAGACCAGATCTTGTTGCTCGTCATATGACCTTTGCACACTCAGTGTCAGAGCCCAAGCCCCCGGACCGGCCTCTCCCAGCTAACCGGCCTCCATCTTGGACCATATTTCCCAGCATGCTCCTCGCGGGAACTCCCGGCATCCTCCCAGTCACACCCAAGCCTATATTTGGAAGACGCCGCACCGGCTCTTCACTCAGTCATCGTTTCATTGAAATCCATGAACAGAGATTCCTACAGAATAATCCAGCCTTCTAACATCTTTCCAAGCTCAACTCCCGTACCCACTCAGTACTGATTATCCAGTTGTGTTGGTTTGTCGTTTATTGTTTATCATTATTCCTGATACAAACAAAAGTTAAGCCATTTTTATAATACATGTGCCTGTTTCTTTTTTAGGATGTAAGCTAAACTAACCACTGATTGAAACATTCACTGTTAAGTCTTTACAATGTCTTTATATGTATTCGTCCATGTGAAGCTGCAGCTCTTAACTATAAATGGTTAGAGCTTTCCTTTTGGACTGGGAGTGAGTCTTTGCCTTAGCCATGAATGATGGTTGAAGGTGGAGCAAGAGATTAACAGAGCTAATGATGGTCTGTCCTGGTTAAGAATGAGCTGAACTGAGAGGTAACACTGAGAGATGCTACTCCTCCTCATTGACATAAACCATATGAGTTTGTTTGAAGTGTCTCCTGGCACCCAGACATGTACCACTGGGAGGAAACCTAAGGGCAGACCCGAGAGGGATTGTTCATCTTCTCTTTCTTGGAGCTACTTGGGATTTCCCAGGAGGAGCTGGATGACATCAGTAGGGAACGAGATACCTGGGTTTTCCCCTTTGACACGTTAACTCTGACACCCAATCTTGAATAAACGGAGAGAACCCACAGACAAAATCTTCCATCAGTTACTGAGCAGCTCAAACCATCATTTAATCCAGATTGGATGTAACACCCTTTAGGTTATAGCAGCGTTTCTAAATTAAAAGGACACTGTGCAACTTATTCATATTTTTAAATCATTTTCTTGAGCCAGTATGTGCTAAAATGACCCTTCAGGGTTAATGAAATGCAGTGGCAGATTTAGCAATTTGGGGGCCCAAGGCAAACACAGACATGGGGCCCCTTTACACGCAATCTTACTTTTAACTGGATTTGCGAAACTTCTTCTGACATGAGTTATTTTCCCTTTTTATTGGTCCTCCTCTTTTTTCCTGTCTTACTTTCTCTTTGAGTGCCTTCAATATTTGCTCTGCTGTCTTCTTCCTGTCAGTGATCCTGTGCTTTTGCCTTTCTTTTTTTTCCTCTATTTTCCATTTTGGTCTATGTTTTCCTCCCTTTAAACATTTTCCATTGTCGTTCCTTTTCTGCTTACTTTTGATGTTTACATTGAAAAATGACGTCACTTTTGGAAGTGAAGATAAAAGCTTTTTTAAAGCAAGCTGCTTCTTTCTCTTATTGGAGCCAAAGATAACTCCATTTCATGCCTAATGTTTTGACTATCACTTCGAGTTTGTTACAAACGCTCCCGCCTCTCGTCTTCTTCTTATTTGTGGTCTTATGGCACTTGACAAACAACAATTTGGTGCATTACTGCCACCAAGTGGATTGGAGTGGAATAACTAACAATCACTTCCTGTTTGTGCATCAGCGTCTTAAAGGGACAGTCCATTGTGCCATTAACAGAGGGGTGCCAGCAGTCAGGGCTTGGAGGCCCCCTAACATAAGGGAGCCCCAGGTGGCCGCTGACCTATGCCTAATGGTAAAACCGCCACTGATGAAATGTCACTCAGCCCCTAGCACCCCCTGTAGCCAGAATATTTCACTTGCAACTTCAGACTGGGACCATTCTGTTGGGACTTGGCACTGCAGTCTGGTTCCTGCATGTTTTAGATCATGGAAACAGCTGATTTGTTTAAGCTGGTGATGAATCACTCCTGTAGACACTAAGGAAGGCTGGGGAGACATTTCTAACAAAGGTGTTAGAAAGACGAACGCACAGCAAGGAGATAGGTTTTACTAATGGACACTAGGGGGTGCTAAAAGCAAGCTGAAACTGCCCAGTTACCCTTTAAGGTCTGGGATGCCCTACATAAAACATTTTGAGCCCCCTTCCTGGGGCACACGCCCCAGGAATTGAGGACCACTGGGTTACAGCGATGTGCTGAGTTTTAGCAAACGATGGCATCATTAGGGAAACAAGCTAAATCGTTATTTTATTAGTAAATCTAACCATTTATGCATACTGTAAGTGTTTTTATAAGTGTACTCACACCGTTGGAGCTCTAGCATATCTTGGTCTCTTAGTTTATGGGTTCATCAGACGGTGGTTTTGTTCCCCCAGGTCGATCTGAACCGATCTACAGCAAGCCATGTCGCCATGAAAAGAGCCCGTCCAAATCCAGCGAGGTGATCAGTCCGGAGGTCCTCAAGATGCGCGCCGCCCTCTTCTGCATTTTCACCTACCTGGACACCAAAACCCTGCTGAGAACCGCCGAGGTTTGTCGCAACTGGAGATTTGTGGCTCGTCACCCGGCCGTGTGGACCAGAGTGCTGCTAGAAAACGCTCGCATTTCTTCCAAGGTATCGTCAACTTTTTTCACTACGACTTTCTGGTCAAGCGCTTTTTCAAAGTAGAGGTAGATTTAGCTGCTGTTGCAATCATTTTAATGTCTACGTGTGGGATTGTTTTTGTTTTTGTTTTTTAGTTCCTGAGCACATTGTCTCAGTGGTGTACTCAGACCCATTCTCTCATCCTGCAAAACCTTAAACCGCGACAGCGAGGCAAGAAGGAAACCAAGGAGGATTACCTTAAAAGCACACGGTGAGACACAAACAGACACGGATAGGCCTTAAAATTATCCCCTAATAACCCGGAAGGTTCTACTAGTTCTCTGTGTCTTACCTTGACTTGATTAACTTCATTATTTTACCATCTGTTGAACCAAGCGCTGTACCAGATGTGATTGATGAGAGGAAGTCAGGAGGATGAATGCGAGTGACAAAAACTGACATTTTGGTGCTGTCTGATTTTCTCCAGTACGCGAAACGTCAGTTTTCATTTGCTAGAAAATGAAAAAGAAAAAACCCAGGTTAGATAAGAGTAGAGGAAGTGAAGTCATTTCGTTGAAGGACACACATTTAATTGCTTGAGCACCTCTTAAATCCTGCAGGCGCTGAATCAACCTGATGTTTCTTGGAAATGTTGCGGCGGAAATTACAGGAAGAAATTTCACGCTGGTGTATTTGAAGTGCTGAAATGATTACTTCCTTTTTTTGTTTCTGTTTGACTTTTTTTCCTTGTCCCTTCCTTGCTTTTCTGTCTTAAGTGGCTGCCTTGAGGAAGGTTTGGAGGCATTGCTAAAGGCCACAGGAAGCAACCTGCTGATATTAAAGATCTCACACTGCCCCAACCTGCTGACCGATCGCTCCCTGTGGCTGGCCAGCTGCTACTGCCGCGCCCTCCAGGCTGTCACCTACAGGTACACCAATGAACTAACTTCACCTGCACCCTAATCCTCTCCATCACCAAGGTGTGTGGTTTTTAAAAGCTGTGTTTGCTGAGTTGCAGGAGCGCAACAGATCCAGTTGGCCAAGAGGTGATCTGGGCCCTCGGGGCGGGGTGTCGAGACATTATTTCTCTTCAGGTGGCCCCCCTACACCCATGGTAATTTATGAAGAAATAAACACAAACCAGACGTGGAAGTCTTAAGCTTGGTTTATGCTTGACGCATTCACTTTCCGCTTGGTGATGCGGCTCGCGGATGGAACGCGCTTCACAACACGCAGCGTTTATGGTCGTGTGGCTTGTCTCTGCGGTGAGCCAATATTCTCCCAAACTGTAGGGGGCAGCGTGGAGCTCTACACGGCATGCATCCAACACTACACCATAGTAGAAGTAAAAACTGTTGTTTACAACATGGGATTCCAGCATTTTTAACAGCGTCCTCGTCTTTTCCGACAGTGCGAGCTATTTCTCTCCAAGAATTATTAACTACATGTTGATCACGGTGATCTCTGAGAGCTGAATCATACATCATATATTTACGAACCTCTGCCATACTAGTTCTTGCCGGTCCGCCATGTTTTTCCGCGTCTGACCGTCCGCGTGGTTAGAAATTTTCCTAGGTGCGCGTTGCGTAATTTTTGGGCCGTGCGGAGGCGCGGTGGAGGGGCGTGGTTGTTAAAATGACGCAATTTCGCCGCGCGGACCTCGCGGACGCGTCAAGCATAAACCAACCTTTATGTAACTAATGTGCTGTATGTTTGTATTTGCAACCAAAAAAAAAAAGAAACTAAAACTGTTTATATAAGTTTTTAACTTTTACATTCTCTTGTTTCACACTAAAGAATATTTAAAGACCAAGTTCACTGAGAAAGCATTTTTTTTTACTTATTGTTTTGGAAAATTATCAATCACTCAGTTTACCATGCAGGCTGAACATGAAATTTGTCTTCCACCTGTTTCTGTTTCCTGCATTAGCTTCTGATAGAAAAACGCTCGGTTCAAAAAAGCCTGGCAGGTCTGCGTCACACTGTCTCACCCATCTTGGCTCGCAACAGGGTCACCTCATGAGAACGTTTCAGCTAATAGAAGCTAACCATTAGCGATAGCAACTCCACAACATGGCAGAACTCCTCCAGGCTTGTGTTATTTGTGGAGATAAAAACAGAAACAGTGGTAGAGATGCATTGCTGTTAGCCAATCAGAGGCGAGACGTCCAACTATCAGGAATTCAGAGAAGACAAATGTAGCCGTCTGAAGCGGGCTGACTTCTACGTCCTCAAACAGGAGCTTCATACTAGAGTGGCAGTGGCAAATGTATTAAAAATATGAGAAACTTTGGCCTTTACCAAAATGGTGCAGGCTGCATGGTGACGCAGTGGTTAGCACTGTTGCCTCGCAGCACGAAGGTCGCAGGTTCGAACCTCGGCTGCGGCCTTTCTGCGTGGAGTTGCGTGTTCTCCCCATGCATGCGTGGGTTTCCTCCGGGTACTCCGGTTTCCCCCACAGATCACAACATGCCCTATAGGTTATAAATTGCAAGTCGCTTTGGATAAAAGCGTCTGCTAAATAAGTAAACATAAACATTTACCTGAATTCTTGTTATTCACAACTCAAACAGCAGATGTGTCTGTAGCCAGTCACACTCTGCCACATGAATTTAAAATAATATAAACTATCTGTCAAATTACATTTAAATGAACTGCTATGAAATAAGTTGTTTTCATACTACAGCTTTGTGATCCTGTTAATAGATCAGTTAGTTTGGATATCAGGACATAATTTTAACCGTTAACTAATTAGCCTCGAGTTATGCACAAACCGTAGGCGTAGCAAACAGATTTAGCTCTGCAGGTCGGTATGGCCATTCTCCACTATAGCCTCAGCAGGTCGACCATTGGCCCGAACAGGTTTTAGCTCTGTCCAATCACAGCACTCTGTTGGGGGTTTTCCAACAGCACAACTTCGCCTGACTCGAATGGGCCCGGTTTGGTTTGACAGCCTTTTCCAACAGAATGGTTCGGTATTTTCCCCCAACTTTTCAGTACCTACTTCACTGTGGTTCCTTGCATGCTGAGCTAGTTCGAAAACACGCCAGCGACTGTTGGTCACTGATTGGCGAGGGGGTGGAGTCACTTTTTGTTCCAGAAATGTTTTACCTCCTGCCTGCAGCCATTTTTTGGGTTCAGAGCCTGAGAAAAAGCCAGAGACTGAGCAGAAGGTTGATCATCACCAACAGTGTTGTGCAGTGTTGGGTTTCTGTGCAGCTTACAGATCACCTTGTGCTTTTTTTTTGTGATTTGGGTAAAGATCACATGTGCTGTGGTTTAAAGTATAACGCACAGACTAAATGATATTATTGTCGTTAAATTCTTGTCAGTGTCACATGTGTATGTGCCCCAAGGGTAGGGGTGACATGATGTAGGAAGAGAAAATGAAAGAGCAATGACTGAGTTGAGTTTTTGGTGTTTCTTCCAGCCAACAACCTGCCCGCTTCAGTAATCGGTGTCTGCAGACTATTGGACGATGCTGGCCCCACCTCCGTGCGCTGGGCGTGGGTGGAGCTGGATGTGGGATTCAGGGGCTGGCCTCACTGGGTAAACATCTTCATACAGCTGATCTGAGCTTCTGTCGGTGTGATACTGTATGAGAGAACATCACTGATCACCAAAGGAGTTGTCCTGCACAGTAACTTTTATTAAAGGCTATTTGTGCTCCATAAAACACAACTTTTTATCCTAACGTCTGAGGTATTTCACACCTTTTTTTCACACTTTTTATGTTATAAATTATGTTGTTTGTTCTTTTGCTTTAACTTCCAGTTTTTAAACCTAATTCTTCTGAGAATTTCCTTCCCTCACGTTGAATTTACTTCTATCTGTTCTGAAAGTCTCCTTTATTGTTTTCTACAAACATCTTTTTGAATTTCGTTTTACTCTTGTTTACTTTCTCCATGTGTGCAGCGAGGAACTGCATGCGTCTGCAGGTGTTAGAGCTGGACCATGTGAGTGAGATCAACCAGGAGGTGGCAGCAGAGGTTTGCAGAGAAGGTCTGAAGGGTTTGGAGATGCTGGTGCTCACTTCCACGCCAGTCACCCCCAAAGCTCTGCTCCACTTCAACAGTGAGTTTAAACCTTAATTTTACCATAAACGCTGAAACACTCCAGCATTCATTCTTATGAGATCCAGCATCCCAACCCCTTTAATTCTCCTTCTCGCCATGCAGGTGTTTGCCGTAACCTGAAGTCCATTGTGGTTCAGATTGGTATAGACGACTATTTCGAGGATCCCAGTAGTCCAGAAGCTAGAAAGCTGTTTGACGAGATGGTTAACAAGCTACAGGTAACTTCTACGTTATTGTTTGCTGGTGTTTTCTAAGGAAATGAAACAGATAAAATAGTGAACTTTTAGGAATTTTCAGCTACGATTTGACTAACGTTTTTCTCTGATCTCTGTAAACACAGCTTGCAGATACATGAAATAATTCTCCTTTTTTGATGATGATAATGATGATGATGGTGGTGAAGCCCTCACACAATTAGAAATATAAGCAGCCCAAGTCACGCCCATCTACTTCCAGACCATGGTTTCCTGGAAATAAGAAAAAAGGTAACGCTTCCTTTTACAGTCCCCTAATTACTAAGTACTTACATGGTAATTACACAGTAAGTTAAAGTCTATTATTGCGTTATTAAAGTGTGTAATTATAATAAGGTGTAATTATTGTGTAAATGATGTAATGATGGGAATGATGAATAAAATAAAAACTAGAATTGAATCTGAGTTACATGGTAAGAACTGTTTAAGAACTCAGAAACGATAATACACTTTAACTTACTATGTAATTACCATGTAAGTACTTAGTAATTAGGGGACTGTAAAAGGAAGCATTACCAGAAAAAAACGAATGCAAATGAGGGAATAAAAGCCATATCCTAATCCCGTTTGATGTGTGCCTTGGACTTCACACGTGATGTCTGTGAATTTTAAAGACACATTCTGATGCCTAGAAAGGGGTTATTTTTGAAAGTTATTTTAGCTTCTGTGTGAAAAGACGTGGAGGACCACAAATACGTTTCACCAGATTGATGTCATAGAAACAGACATGGAGAAAAAAATGGCTGTGAGTTTAGCGAGCTTTGAATCTTTCTTGTAGGATGCACGAAGGAGCGTTAGACATCGTAAAAACCAAAGCAAAAAATCTGGCCATGTGGTAAGTAAGTCCGATTCTGCAAAATCTGATTTGATCTATTACTTACGAAATTTTATAAGCTAACAAATCTCAAAGTACGTGACGGACATAGTCCAAACCCACAATTTCTTTTCATTTAAGAAGAAACAATCTTTTATACACTGCCGCTCATGATAAAAATCACAAAAACACTTTAAAAAGATCTAGAAATATCATACAAATGAGAAAATTAAATAAATTTGAAAAGAAAAGAACAAAAAAAATTGAAGAGCAGCATGTGTGATTCAGGGTGTAAGGCAAAGTGGATTAGAAAATAACTCTGAGAGCTCACTTAACTTTCCGTTGTTCCGGGACCCGTGAGCTGACCGGAAGGGGAGGAGTCTTACAGTATTTAGGCTCCCTAAGGGAACAGCTTAAGAGTGATTCACAGCCATGACTGTCAAAAAAAGGTATAAAAATCACTTTTTTTTATCTTGACTCACTGAAGTTTGTTGCTGCTCAGCATGTTTTTAGGCAAGTTCTCATGAGGTAAACCTTGAAAACATGCAGTCATGCTTCAGCTGTTGCATGAATCAGATAAGATTTTGCCTCTGGAAATTTGGCTGCTTTTATGTGGATGACGTTATGTGTCCTTCTGTTTCCTAGGCTCTAAAGAAGAGGCCTGGCTTCTCTAAAATCCTGCATGTGAAAGCAGACAGCCTCTGCTAACATCGTTTGTGCAGCCTCTCCATGGAGGTGCCGTCGTAGCTGGAGTCGGTCAGAAGGACACGGCTGGTTTGAGTCGGCTCCAGGGGCGTCTGTCGCATCTAAAATAAGACAAGGTCATAAAATAATTAGAAAAACAAATGTTGGGACCATCGGACCGACAGTGGCACTTTTTTAAAAAAGGAAACCAGATGAAAAAGTAAAAAGGACGTCTGTTCGATTCATTTTGTTTTTTCAAACTCAAAAGTGGGTTTAGTCAGAGACGGATCCATTTCTTGAGACACATTTTGAGCCTGTTGACTGAGCTGAGTTATTATTTTTTGTCCATGATGACTGAGACCAATGGCTCACTGACGGGAACGTGTAATAACTTTCTACAGATGCACAGAAAACATTTGTTTCTCAAGGGTAACAAATAACCCAGCCTGTCCTGCACTGCTGTACCCTGAGACCGGACTAAAAAACGATTTAAGAACCATTACTGCTTCCACGCAGAAGTGAAATCTGCTGCACTGAGGCGCGAGTGACAACGTCATGCTGAAACACACGGGCCTCGTCTTCTGGGTGTCACGCGGCAGCGGCACGTCTCACCTCCGATACCGTCCTCCGCTTTCTCCCGCAAACGTCTGGAACCAGTGTTTTTGATCTTTATGGCATCTCATTTGTTTTCAGAGGACAGTATCTGACGTCACTGGTGCTGTTTGTATGGAACGTGAGAATGAAAGCGTTTCCTCCGATGTGCCATTTAACCAGGAAGAGCAGGTTAAGTCAGGATCCTTTTAGCAGCTCCAACTGAACAAAAAGGGCGCGCTTCATATAAAACAACGTCTCCAGGTGCATACAGATGTTGTAGTGTTTGTTTCCATATGGAACAGTGCCATTCCTATTAACAGGGCTACGCTCTTGATTTATACTCATCAGCTGATGTATTTTGGTTTTTTTCTGCTGATGTGACATTGGCTCGCTTTACAAGTCCGCAGCCTTCCCTTCACATTAGAGGAAAGTAGATTTGGCCCCGGTGTGTTACTAAAATCCGCAATATGCCCGCTAATGTGACACTTAAAGGACTTGTGAGTCGTGCAGAGCTGCTCAGCTCGTCCTGTAGCTTTGGAGGACGTTTACTTGTGTCTGGGTTAGAATCTGTTGAGAAACTGTTTCTCAGCGCCGACAGATGAAACACAGAGCAGGAACATTGTGCGTTACAGGTGCGTGTTTACCAGGCATCTGCGGCCTGAAAAACACAGAGATCCCAGATCAAAATCTTTATTTTTATCATAGAGATAAGGGACCCAAACTCTCTGACTCCTGTCGTTCCTGCGCATTAAAGTAGTCTCCCCTATTTATGAAAGTGCAATAAAAATAAAGCGCATAGCTTGGTAAAAGGTTTATAGATAATATATGAGCTATACTTAATGACATAAATTAATAACATATGGAATATGGAGTATTCCTTAAAGGAATTTAAATCATTTGTCTCAAGAATTTTAAAATGAGACCATCTTATGAGGAGAAATGATGGATTTATTGTAAGGTTAGTCAACACTTGAAAATCCCATTATGTGAAATCTTAAAGTATCTTTCCGGAGTATTTCTCTTATCCGATGGCACCATCTGACAAGCATATCACACAAATCATCTCTGGATTCGTTTTTTTTTTTCAAGATGGCGACTTCACATTTCTTTGTTTATAAATGTACTTCTGTAGCCAACAAACAGCTAAAACACGAGTATTATTCTCATTTCATGTTGTGTTTTCATATATTTATATTTTAGAGACTTACCTGTGCATGAAAAGTTCATCAACTCTGCATTAAGCACTACCGCTACTGGTCAGTTCTGGTTGGCGCTCAGTTTTCTATTGCACAGAGCTCTGCAGGGCAGGGGGCGTGCTCAGGAAAAAAACAAAAAAAAAGACGTATCACTTATATTAAATATAACGTCATCACTTTTACGGATGTCTGAAAAATCATAGATAATTTTTGAAAGCGGAAAACTCCAGAAAGCTACTTTAATATAGGGTCTGGCTCAATTTGGTTTCCTTCTCTTTAGAGCAAGCTTCCCCACACTCTAAAAAATGAAATGTTGAAATAACTTAATAAAGTTATGTCACCTGGTTCCACTAAGCCTGGTTGCTTATAGATGGAGAACGCTCAGACCAGAAAAAGCCACTCAGGTCTGTCACACTGCAAATTAACATTCAACGACTCATCCATCTTGACTGGCAACGGGAAAGGCTGTTGCTGATGAAGCATCCAGGAAACAGCAGAGCACGTCTCGTGTTAGTAGAAGCTAACTGTTAGCATCAGCACCTCCACAACATGGCGGAACTCCTTCAGGCTTGTGTTATGTATGCAGAAAAAAACATAAAAGTTGCAAAGCAAAAGGAGTCAGTGGTAGAGGTGTATCGCTGTTAGCCAATCAGAGGCGAGATGCCCGAATATCAGGAAGTAAGACTCCAAAACCTGCCGTCTTCTGCTCACCGTTCTTCCGGCTAACTTCTAGCTCCTGAAACAGGAGCACCAGAGCTATTTTTTCTAGGAGAATGACTCACAAGGCAATAATTCATACTAGAGACAGCTGCAAATTTATTGAAATACCAATTAAACAAGAAATGTACATGTAAATGGTAATATACATTACATTTATACATTGTTATGGTAAAAGTAAATTTATATTACTTAAGCAATTAGATTTAGTGGTGCCCGTTGACATAACTTGGTTAAGTTAATTCGACATTGACTGCAATTTCCCAGTCTGGGATCAATAAAGTGAGAAGTTTTTTTTTGTTGAGAAGTTTAATGAGAAATTAAATGAGAAATTAAAATCAATAGTACGATAAAATAGTACAACAAAAAACATTTGCAGGTTTACAAGCAAACACACAACTTACACAATTCTAAGAATGGGTGCCGGCATAAGCTTATAAGCCCAACCCCCCAAACCCTTTGAACTTAAACAAACTTTTAGAATGGCATACCAATTCCATAATTTTTACATCATATCTGAAATGTATGGGAATATATTCAAATCCCCATTCTTGCTTTCTAAAAAATAATGACCTTTAATATTTTATGCATTTTTTCATTGACTTGATTCATAATATTCAATCACATTTGATTTAAACCTACCCTTAAACTTTACCATTGTTGAACAATCTTTTTGCTCCTGGTCTAATTTATTCCACACATCAACCCCAACACAAGAAATACAAAGTAGTTTCATCTATCTATAATCTGCACACTTTATCTCAAAGCAACCCCCTTATGATTTATTTTTTGTATTTTTTTGTGATTTTATTACATCGGATGAGGTACAAGAGAGGAGCATAACTGAAAAAAAATGAATGTTTCCTTTATAAGATGAGAGTTGTGAACCTCCATTTCTCCAGGTTCTTCCTTGACCCGCTGAAGGAATTGAGTTTAAGGTGAAGGAGGTTAACAGACACACACACACACACACACACACACACACACACACACACACACACACACACACACACACACACACACACACACACACACACACTGTTGAGACATACACAAAACACTTACTGATTTTGAGTTTCAGACAATCCTGCGTTCGTTATCAGCTACTCTGTACATAATATTTGTAGAAAACCAAAAGAAAAACAGACCAACGTTTGATGTTGATATGATATATTAAGGTCATAAGTCTGACGTTTACAGATCTTCTCTCTGTAAGGACTTTTTCTCTCTGAATGAAAGATAAACATATTAAAGTTTATTATGTATAACAGTAGTGTTGACATTGAAGTTGTGTACTAGATACTTTATATTAAATGTGCATCAGATTCATATAGACGGAGATTATTTAAGAAGAGTATACAGATGATAATTCAGTTATTTATTTCTATAAAAAAATGAGCGCTGTGTAAAACGTTGGCATGTTTGTGTTCATGCATCAATCATTGAGTTGCCTTCTTTAGCTGTTCTGCTACTGTGGCGAGAAAATGATTAAATGTTTATAAAGAGCTTTGATTGCCTGCAGGTTAGTAATCTTCATTTGATCCTGTCTGTTGTTGCACTATAGAGAAAAAAAGGTCATTCAGATGTTTATTATAAGGTGTTGTTTTTAATGTTTCTCTGTATTTGAAAAGAAAAAATATGATGCACTTTTTTGTTTCTCAAACATTTTTCTGGACCCTGCGGTCTTCGGTGTAGGCAGATGATCCTGGGATGCCTGCTGCTTGGTGTGGACCTTCCATGTTGGATCCCCCAGGAAATAAAGACTCTGGAGATGATTCCTGCATATTTCTGTATCAGCAAACAGACGTGCAGTTTGTCCTGATCCTTGCAACGTCGTTCATTCAGTGCCATAGTTCTGTTTTGGGCAGAAAGTTAAGGAGGAAAGCTGGTCAACTACATTCAAGTGCTTTTTAGGATAGGAGCTCATGTTTTGGTTTTGTTGTTCATTTTGCGTAGATTTTCACCTGTTTTGTTGTGTGAAATGACTTGTTTTTGCTCTGAATCAGCAGACTGGAGGTGGAATAACTATTCAAACGTCCACTCAACTCATTTAAAATCTTATATTAAAGGTTCTTCTTCATAATTACATGTTTTTAATTCAAGTGACTTCTGATACATTTCATTATGTGCAATAGAAAAACCGAGCAAGAGCTGAAAAGACGTGTGTTTTATGTCTGAATGATTGTAATCTGCCCATTTATCTAAAGAGCGTGTTACTCATTACCTCAACACTTAACAGGGCAATTAAGTGCGTAATTTTATTTCCAAGTTATTATTTTTGACTGCCATGGACATTAACTTCATCTGAATTTCTTTCTGTGACAAAATCAGATCCTTTGGGATGAAAAGTGCTTTCCCAAAACGAGCAATCAGCCTTCTTTGATGACTGTATTCGATGGATTTTCATTCATTTGATGTCATCAATAAATCATGCTTTAAATTGTTGTCGCTGTTTGCTTTAGAGGTGAGGTAATGGGGTCTCTCAGGGGTTTTGTTTTAAAGGGACAATGTGTAGTTTTTACCGTTATCATCAAAATGTTGCTGAAAATTAATGAAACGATGCCCAGTTGTTGAAAAATATTGGCGGCTGCATAACATCGTATATCTATAAAACCCGGGTGTAAAAGACATGGGAGCTGTTGTAAGTCTCTGGGTGACACCATACTAGACGCCGTGTTTCCTTCTATGGGAGCCCGTGAGGACAAAATGCATTTACTGATTTGTAACGATTACAAAACTTTCACCATTCATAAATGTTGTTTTACACATTTACCTCTTCACTCGTTGCCTGTAATGAAAGGGAGTGTCACGGTCTGGGGGTGAGTCCTCCTCTCACAAGCTAAAACACCTCTGAGCTTCTCCTGCAGGTGGGCGTGTCAAGGAGTGGGACCAGCTGCAGTCCATCTGCTCATCAGTTGGCCAGGGACATGTAAGCTGCTGGGAGACGTCTTCATTTGCTGGATGATTAGCTCAACTTTGGGTATCTATAAGTCCGAGCCATTTTTTGATAAAGCAGTTGCTAAACGCTGCTGAGCCTTGCTTCAAGCGATTTTATTTTTCTAGTTCCTGTGTACTTTACGAGCTTGCCTGATTTTTAAGATTTGCATCTCCTCCAGATTCCAGCCACCACCTTCCACCCTGCCGCGCAGCCATCTGCACCAAGCCCACTGTCTCCCAGCCTGTCCCTGGTCGCCCTCTCGCTACCGTCCACCCCCCTTACTTGATCCTGCTCTCATCTCCGAGCTCAGCTCCCTCAGACCCCTCCTGGAATCTCTATCTCCTGTGTCCTGGCAAGTGTGTTGCACCGTCTCCCATTCATCACAGACTCCCGCCTGATCGAACCTCCTCCCCTCCCAAGCTCCCCTGGTTTTCGAACTGTAAGTTGCAATTTGTTACCTCTTTCGACCTGGTCGCCACCCTCCTCTAACTCTCCTGTGTCTAGGACCACCCCCCACCCCACCCCCCTCCAGCTGGACTATTCCTGCTGCACTTTTAGTTCCCGTTATAGTAATAAACCCTTTTTTACACTTATTCGGACTCTGTTGATTCACCTTCCCCCAACATGAAAGGGAGTCTGATGTGCTTGACATTTTGCTGGAAGTTGCACTCCCAGGAGGTTTTTGACCCAAATGGCCATCCGTTGGTAAGATCTTAGTCGAACACAAAAATACCGCTTGCGTGCAATGATTTAGGTAAGTACTGCCCCCTATCGCCAGAGAAAATACACATCTAACTGCTAGTTTAACAGCTGACAGTCGTGAAGCAGGTGCTCCCCCTATAGGAACTATCAAGTTTGGTTTTTGGTCAGCAGAGGGCTGCAGAGTGGCGTCAAATATGAAACTAGTCAAGTTTTTAACTCAACAATCAATTACATCAATGGTAAAGCTCTAGATTAAAGTTTTAAAAAACTATTTGGTGGTACTTTAAATGCACTCAGGTTCTTGTGATCCTTTATAAACACTAACATTATAGAAAAGCTGCTGTAATAAAACAAAGCAGTAAAAAAAACTCAGAATAAACTCATTCGATCAATTGTGATCAAATCAGATGAAAACACAAAGACACATTAGGACATTACAGCTCAATAGCTCTTTCCGCCTTCATATTTATTTATTTATTTCATTGCTCAGGGAGCAGTCAGCCCTCTACTGGCTGTAAATAGATAAAACCTGCTTTAACAAACTAAAATCCCTCAAAAACAATGTTTCTTCAGATTATTCGAACTTGTCTTTGTAAAAATAATGAATTCACGTTAACATTTACTCCTTTTTTTTGTCCTGTTTCAAAAAAAGGCATCTGTGTGAACAAGTTTCATTTCACCAGAAAGTTCAGAGATGCCAGAGTGAAATTCTCTGAGGAGGAAGGTGACACCAAGGCTGTTATTTTCTTTGAAAACCACATTCAGGAAGTTTGCACATCAAACCGGAAATAACAAAACTAGGAGTTGTGCTTCTCAGCTGCAAATTGGTACTTCTCAAAAGAGACAAAACTAAACAGAAAAACGTAATTTGGACAGTAGAAAAGGTTCTGTTAAAGTTCTCTGCAGCTTCACGAGTTCCCCCGATGGAGCTGATAAAGCAGGAGACCTGCCAGCAGTTTGGGGTTTTCCTCCTACTGTCACTGTCTGACTGGAGAAGGAGGGGAAGTGAGGAAACACTGCCAACAGAAGGCAAATGTCTCAGCTTACAAAAACTCCTTCAGTCATGTGGTTTCGAAAGCTTCTGAAAGAAACAGCTGAATGGTTTCAAACTGTAGTATTTGTTTTTAAATAAAGTTAAACGAGTTTTCTGCTATCTGCAGATTTTATTCCTTTTATGGTTTTTCCTAGTGTGACATTTTTTCTTCTCTAATCCCAGACAGCAAGCTTATTGAAACACTACTGATCTGAATCATCATCAGAACGGTTGACATCGAAATCTTGATGCAAACTAGATGTTGAATGAATGCTGCAAAACCGATGAATCCAGGCAGAAACAGCATGATATTGTATTTTGTCAAATTGAAATTTAAGTGAAAATGCATTGATCTGTAGTTGTGTTGAAATGTAGATGTTTTAATATTTAGGTTAGTTGAAATACAATTGTAAAAGCATTGGTGCAAACTGAAGTTGATCCAGTGTTTTAACGCTGACAATGCAGTGTGGGTTCGACATTGTTTCAATGTAAGCTTGCTATCTGGGATATTTGAAACTGTGATTAAAATTGTGAACTGATCCTCTTAGCGATAAAATAATCAAAGGAAAGTTGTTTCCTCCACCACTAATGTTTACAAAATGATCAAAATGAACTAAGTCGGTTGACTGATCATAGAATTTTTTAATTCTGTTAAAAGTTTCACAATTGTCGTTTTAGTATGTCCATCTTTTTAAGTAACATGACAGTACATGCAGAAGGCACTTACAAAAACAAGGTAAATTACACATGTGGTTAAAAATTTTTAACTTAGGGATTAAAAAACAAACAAACATGGTGACAGAAAGTCAAAAACATGAAATACCAGCACCATTGGCAACTTTTCAACAGGAACATTTCCAACAAAACATGAATTAAATCTACAGTTTGATAAAAACGATATTCATCAGTCATCAGTGTGATAATGCCCAAGCTATTCTTTTAAGTACACCTTAATCAGAAAGATAGAAAGCTTTAAGTCAATGTTTTCTTTTCTTTTCTCACTAGTCAAGAGGTTCAGTTTATGTTAGGCTTTGTGGTTGCTGCTTTGTGCAAGTCCTGGTACATCTCCATCAGGCGAGTGGCCTCTCTCTGCCCTGAGAGCAAAGCACCGTGTGTAGTGGAATAGTACTTTCTGTGGGTGGCCTCTCCAGCAAACAGGACCTGCAGCGGCTGGATACAAAAAGGGAGGATGAGCAACAAAGGAAAAGAGAAGAAAACAAGACTGAGAACAAGATCCATCAATATCTCCTTGGCGTATTTTTGGCATCTCCCGCAGTAACCTTTTCTATTTCTGCTTCCTTGTTAGTGTTTCACATAGAGGGGCTGTGGAAAGTGTCCTGGGGGCCTAAGATTGATTTCAGCTTGGCAGAACTGAAGGACTGTCAGGTCATAATGTTCCTTCGGCGGTGTCAAGTATGCAGAGCGTACCTCCACCCCCTATCAGACCCACTTCTGGCTCCTTTTCCTCCTCACCCAGAATCATCAGGTTTCTTAAGGCTGGACTCCTGGCACTTTCCATAAACCTTCTGACATCAGCTGAATGTGACACAACAGAGGTAATGCTAGCTGTCTGCATGTAAGTACGGCTGTGGAGCTACAGTAGTTACATGTGGAGTTACAGTAGTTACATGTGGAGCTACAGTAGTTACATGTGGAGCTACAGTAGTTACATGTGGAGTTACAGTAGTTACATATGGAGCTACAGTAGTTACATGTGGAGCTACAGTAGTTACATGTGGAGTTACAGTAGTTGCATGTGGAGTTACAGTAGTTGCATGTGGAGCTACAGTAGTTACATGTGGAGTTACAGTAGTTGCATGTGGAGTTACAGTAGTTGCATGTGGAGCTACAGTAGTTACATGTGGAGTTACAGTAGTTGCATGTGGAGTTACAGTAGTTGCATGTGGAGCTACAGTAGTTACATGTGGAGTTACAGTAGTTACATGTGGAGCTACAGTAGTTACATGTGGAGTTACAGTAGTTACATGTGGAGTTACAGTAGTTACATGTGGAGCTACAGTAGTTCCATGTGGAGCTACAGTAGTTACATGTGGAGTTACAGTAGTTCCATGTGGAGCTACAGTAGTTACATGTGGAGCTACAGTAGTTACATGTGGAGTTACAGTAGTTCCATGTGGAGTTACAGTAGTTACATGTGGAGTTACAGTAGTTACATGTGGAGCTACAGTAGTTACATGTGGAGTTACAGTAGTTACATGTGGAGCTACAGTAGTTCCATGTGGAGTTACAGTAGTTACATGTGGAGCTACAGTAGTTACATGTGGAGTTACAGTAGTTACATGTGGAGTTACAGTAGTTACATGTGGAGTTACAGTAGTTACATGTGGAGTAACAGTAGTTCCATGTGGAGTAACAGTAGTTCCATGTGGAGCTACAGTAGTTCCATGTGGAGCTACAGTAGTTACATGTGGAGCTACAGTAGTTACATGTGGAGCTACAGTAGTTCCATGTGGAGCTACAGTAGTTACATGTGGAGCTACAGTAGTTCCATGTGGAGCTACAGTAGTTCCATGTGGAGCTACAGTAGTTCCATGTGGAGTTACAGTAGTTCCATGTGGAGCTACAGTAGTTCCATGTGGAGCTACAGTAGTTCCATGTGGAGCTACAGTAGTTCCATGTGGAGCTACAGTAGTTCCATGTGGAGTAACAGTAGTTCCATGTGGAGCTACAGTAGTTCCATGTGGAGCTACAGTAGTTCCATGTGGAGCTACAGTAGTTACATGTGGAGCTACAGTAGTTACATGTGGAGCTACAGTAGTTCCATGTGGAGCTACAGTAGTTACATGTGGAGCTACAGTAGTTCCATGTGGAGCTACAGTAGTTCCATGTGGAGCTACAGTAGTTACATGTGGAGTTACAGTAGTTCCATGTGGAGCTACAGTAGTTGCATGTGGAGCTACAGTAGTTACATGTGGAGCTACAGTAGTTACATGTGGAGCTACAGTAGTTACATCCCTGTGCATCTTAATCATATCTGCAGGAGGGATTTTCTAAAATAAAAGTTGGACTAAATTAAAGAGAGTATGTTGCTGTCTTACTGGAGCCTTAGTGCTGTTGGCATAAGGCAGCGGCATGGCCAGCCTTTCACAGTCCATACCACTGGACCCGACTCTGGTGAAGGAGTAGGAGCCTCGGATGTACGGGTTGTTGCCCCAAGACGAGCGCAGGATCCGTCTGGGCTTTGGAATGTCGGGGTTCCCTGTAGGCAGACATAAGGAAAGGGGGAGCGTTAACATGGATACTGGTTAAAAAATACAAATTTAAATGGTTATGAAACAGATAGTTTCTAGACAAGAGGTCTAATTAAAAAACTGCAACCCTCTTCATGTGATCAAACAGAATGAAACCTAAAGGACATATTATGAGTACAATAGTTTTATGGTCGATACAAAACATGTTCAAAAAGTTCTTCGCATAAAATCCATCACACCGTTTCATTCTTGACAGTTTCAGTACCTTCTAGAATGAGCCATCTCAGGTCTCTGTCACTTTAAGAAAAAAAGCTGGAGCTGGCCACGCCCACCCCTTCCCCACTCAGGCTGCTATAAGCTGAGAAGCTCATATCTGGGAGGGGCTCAGAGCAGAGCTGCTGCTGCTGCAGTGCTCTCTTGTACGTGAGAGGTGGTTCTATTCTAATTCTCACATTTGAAACAGCATGTTGTAGGTGTAAAGTTCCTAAAACTAAATATGACCAAAAAAAAAAAACAGATGAGTTTTTTTTCACGTTTGGAGTTTTTATAGGGGCAGTAGAGACCCACATGGTAGCACAAAATAATGCAAACGGTGAGCTTTGCATCTGTCCCTTTAAAAAAAATTTAAAATTCAATGAAAAATGTACTATATTATTTGAACTATTGCCATTTTAACCTTAAATTATGCTGCACTTGCCAAACCTCCAAAACAGTGCTGCTTATTAGCAGATAATATAGTTCTCATTCTAGAAACAGATAAACTTTTAATGGCTTTTCAGCTCTTCCTTTAATGTTTTATACTGCAAAAGGAAAATGTGACTTATTGTATGTATGCTGTTGGCTCAGTAACTGATACGGTGATTTTAAAATAAAAGGACGACAAAATGAAACTTTAAAAATGCCCACACAGTTTAAGGCTTTTGATGTTCGCTTCTAAAATATCCAAGACAAAAAAACAGATGAAGGAAACAAGTGAGGATAAGACGTGACTCACTCTGCTTTTGTATCTGCTGTGGTAATAGAACAACCTGAGCCCGTTAAGCGCGGGAGATAGTGGATGAAAGATGAATCACTACCAAGAATTCCTCACAGAGCTGCAAACAAAAGAACTCGGAAGTACTTGTGTACACAAATCATGTTTTGATTGAGTTGGGACCACTGACCTCAGGAGAGACAGGCCACCTAGATGTCTCAACTTATATGAATGAACGAGTGTCAGGCTGGTTGTAGAGGCTTCGCAGACGAACGAAGAAAAGGAGAAATACAGTTCATCCCTCGTTTATTGCGGGACTTATTCTAAAGTAACCCGCAATTGGAGAAATCCACAACGTAGCTTCATCTTTTCCAATTATTATAGATGTTTGTAACGTACGCAGCTACTATAGGGATCACACACACATGAAGACACCAGAATGTCCAATTCTCAACATTTTTCTTTCCAGCATGCATGCATGGGAAAACTGTTTTATTTGCACACTCACTCCAGCATTTCAGTCTCGCAACAAGTCTCTTGTCGTCATGTTGTAGAGACTCGCGTCTCCTCCTGATTATAAAGACGCAGGAGCACTGATTGCGCTCCGGCCGCACACGGCGCTCTCCTGCTGACACAGCCGCTCTTCTCTCCTCCGCAGACGTGTTCGTCCCAGCGCACCGCCACAACGTTTTATACGCTTTTCTCAGAAAGACATTAAGATTTTCACACTTTTCTCTCAAAGTTCAAACCTTTGTAAATGTGGATGCAGATCACCATTGCGTATGCAAAATTGCACACAAAAATCTGCCAAACAGTGAGGCCGCGAAAGGCGAATCACGTCTGGACCAGGAGCTACTGTATGGAGCTATCTGACATCAGTTTATAGTCTGGATCTTACCAGCACATCCTGAACCAAAAGTGGTGAGTGGTTGTTTTCTTGTCATTAGCAGCAGCAGCTCTGGTTAGCGTTAGCAGTACTTAGGCCTAGCGTTGATCTGCAGTTAGCATTACTGTGACCAGCGTTTACACATCGCAACGTTGCAGAAGGTTGGAACATGTAGATGTAAGCAGGTGCGGGTTTCTTACTATGTGTTATTAGAAGCTTTTCTAGAACCAACCGTCTCTCCCTCGCCCTTTCAAGATTCCTAATTTACACAGAAAGCAGGTCAAACTCTTATCGTCTGCCATGCTACACGACCGCCCACGCTGCCTTTATTCAACAACAAGATGAATGCGGCTTTTACATTCTACTGCCCCTTGAATAAAAGCTATAAAACCAGTTGATCAGAGAGGATTTTACACCAAGCCAATATTTTTATCTGAACAAAAATGTTGGACAGGCTCACTGATTAAAAACACCACAGAGCTAAAACCCTTCAGAGTGCTGTCTGCGAGAGGCGGCGCCTGTTGCTGGTGACCCACAGCAGGCAGGGAAATTCTGAGTTACGTAATTAGCACAACAGCTGAGGAGGTTTAACTACACCGGCCTAAATGAGCGGGTTCCTCGGAGTGGTTTACGTTCTGCACGCACACGGGCTGACTGTCTCTGTGACCAAACTGTGACCCAGTTCTGAGGAAGCTGCCAGACTCATCTCCACTTCCTTCCAGATCTGCTACCAAGCAGTGAGCCAGCCCACAGACCGCATTACATTTCATGTTGTGACCACCTTGGAGCAGTTAGTTAATCCAGTCCCTCGGCTACAATAATTAACCAGGACAATAAATATTACACTGACCCTGGGAAAAGAAGGGAGGGTCTTTGTCCTCTGTCACATGACCAACACCTTTGATCAGTGCTGCTCTACGACACACCTGAGTCATTCAGCTCTTATTATCTTTTTTGTGTTTTCAGAGAAGGCTGCTTATGTCACAGCTGGTGTTGACGCCTCTACCATTCAGTGGCAACAATGTGAGTCACAGAGTTGAGAAGGCTCAGTCGGCATTCCAAGGTTACAGATCATGCGTTAGAATTATTTCAGTAAGTGACATTGGGCTTTTGCCTCTGGTGCTGGTTTGGCACCCAGCTCTGTGTGCACATGCTGACCTGTAAAGCGCCTCAGCAGCTTGGTGCAGGTTTCAGCCACTGTTTCGTCGTCGCAGCGCTCCATGTAGAGCGCCTCCTGGCCGCAGATCCAGCCGCTCAGCATGTGGCCATAGCGCTCAGGTGGGTAGAGGACATCGAAGCTACAGATTTTCTTGTACCACAGCTCTTCGGGGTAGGCCAGCTGCTCCAGCTGGGCCTCGTCCTCCCACACAAACTGGATGCTGTTGCACTCTGGACTCCAGAAGGGCTCCTCAAACTCTAGGAATATCTTGTTGGTGGTGCTGATGCCCAGCTTCTCGATGGCGAGCACCTTGTCTTCAGGAAGAGACGGGGAGAACATGGCCGCGTGGTGTTGCTTCAGCACGCCAAGAGATGTGGTAATGATCACGTGGTCGGCCATGATCCACTCCTCATCCTCGCACTCCACGCAGATGGGGCGACCCAGGATCAGAGGGTTATTGAGAGGTCGGCGATCATGGTTGCTATCGTTGTGGTTGTCGTCCCGCTTGGTGTTGCTGCTCTTAGAAATAACCTCCTGATGTTGGGTTGAGTAGTTCCAGTGGATGTGGCGCACTGGTTTGCAAAGGCAGATGGTGTGGGATGGGATGTCCTGGGCCAGGAGGTCCACAATCTTCATAAAACCTTCAGGAATGACATAATGTGCACCAGGAATCTCCGTCCACTCCCCAAACTCACTCAAGGACACCTCGTCCATGCTGGGGGAGCTGCTCTCACAACTCTCCACCTTAAACAGATACATCAGTGCAAGTCAGTCGCAAGTTAAACTCGTGTTCCCAGTAAACCTAACCGCAAATGAACAACATGTTCAACCCAGAGTAAAATATGAAATTACTTTATCTGTGCTGAATGAGCTTATTAATATCTGGTTAAAGAGCACGTCACATCAAAATCAACTTTTTTTAGCTGATAACTAGTATACATGAGTGTCTAATAGTGTTGTAGACATGTGTAGTTATTATTTTTTCATTTTGATGCATTTTCTTTGAAAACTCGAAATTCTGTCTAAAAATGTCAGTCTAGCGCCCTCTTCAGCTCAAAAGTATAGAACACGTTTATTTTGAGTCAGTTTTAGCCAGTGGCTAACGAGAACGATGCAACGTATTTCAGAAAAGTACTACGTAGCAGCTCTGTGGCTGTAGGTTATAAAAGCACAGCGGTCCCAAGCCCTGTAGCACTCGAGGCTCGGATTAGCCGAAAGTGAGTTGTGCTGTTGTTAGCATTAGCATTGTGTCAGGGTCCCAGCAAAACTTCTAGTATTATAATTATTTACTTCTAGTAGCTTGGCTGTTAGATTGTAGTTTAGTGTTTTTTTACATGTTACTCTTTCACCAACTTGATGGGAGTTTGAACTGGGTTGTGCTGGTTTGAAGAGCATTTCACAAATTAGTCCAAGCCCTTCCAGTAAGCCAGATCCCGCCAACTGCTGCTTCCTCAAAATGGAGATTTTGGGCCCAATTTGAAGTGAGTAAGCTAAATAATTACATTTAAGAGCTTCTAAAGATTGTTCCCTGCCTGTAATTTTGCAGCTATATGTGGCAAGACTGGAATGGTGCTATAAATAATTTAATGATAAAAAGAGCTAAAACACCACCACCCTAGGTAACCTCCCCCCAGGGAAGGGTAAAAAGCCCGTAGGTTAAAATGATCACACTGGGAACAGCTGGTAACATTCAAATACACACTTCTTTTTTAAAATCTAGGCTAAACACCATATTGGCGAATGTTAAGAACTTGGGAGTCCAATTATTCATCTGCAGGAAGTAGCAACATTGATCTAGGGCCAACAAATACTTAAAACCAACAAAAATTACACACCAGCTATATTTATAAATGTAAAGTAAGAGAGACGTGGACGTAGTTCACGTAATTTAGACAATCCTTCCACACTGCAGCAGGCTCGAAGCGAGTGTTGTGTGTGTTATGTCACAGACTGGTTTGGGTTAAGTTTTTGTGCCAGTTACTAATATCAGAGCTGATGCAGAGCAGGAGGGACACGAGCAGCTTCTCCTTCTGCTAAATAGCTGATCCGGTTCTGAACTGGTGCTGAGTCCGGTTCTCATTAGAACGTGTCTGATTCTGGACCCTGAGTTAGCTCTGAGAGCAGTCCGATCATTCACCAGCCATATTATAAAGCCCATATATTAGACAGTTTGTTTTGTACATGATCTAAGGTACTAAACTCCTACAACAATGTGATATTATTTTCAGGCTAAATCTGCTGTCAGACTGACGTAGTCCTCCACCAGCCTGCCCCAGTCCAGACTAGAAGCCTTGCAGGTGTTATTTTTAACCATCTGTCCCTCTTTACCTTCTAGTTTTAACATTATGTAATTATTTTAGCTTATTGTTACACACACGTGTGTTGCTGCTCTTAAAAACAACTATAAATATATTTGCTGTTTCTTTATATTTCACATAGCCTCCCAGCAGCAGTGTGTCTGACACTGGGACCATGACGGGAGTTCCACCCAGAGCAGCTTCTACACTCCTGAACAGACCCAGGTGTGGTGGAGAGCTTCTGAGCAGCTTCCATCTGAATGACAGGACAAGCTGTATGAACTGTTCTAGGTAAACAATATTATAAATAATAATATTGTACTCTGTATTCTGTTTTTTTCCTTACATCTCAGCCTGGCTGGTCACCACTGGAGAGGAGCATCTTCCCAGACTCACACTAACATTCCGTTTTACCTCAGAGCCTCCTGATCTAACAGAAAAACCTGTGGCTCCATCCTTGCTCTGCTTTCCACATGCTTCTCATCACCTCTGGAAGCTACCTCCCACAACACTGTGATGTTATTTAATTTTTTTTTCAGTCTAAATGAACCCAAGAAATCTGCTGTCAGACTGATTGTTGCAGCTACAAATGGTCCAGACTGACACGAAGCCTTGCAGGTGTAGTAAAGGTGAGTTGTTTTTAATCATCGTGTAATATTCATTACAACCTTTGAGTTTTAACATCTATGTTTTTGTTTCACAGCTTAGTGCTACACGTGTGTTGCTGCTGTGAGCTTGGAGCTAGATTACATCGTGGCATCATGAAGGAGGCTACTGATTCTGGCTCTGTGACACCTGGTGGTGACGTGTGAGCTGATTCACCTGGTAAATAACTTCTACATTAAATATTTTGTTTTTGCTGTCAAAAGTAAATTAACTAATGACCTGCATTATTGTAGGACGCTCAGCTAAATATGGACGCTACACCATGAGGCAGGCATGCGTTAATATTCTTGATCTCGATGAACATAACATCTATGATAGCTTCCAGTCAGGTTTTCGTAGAGCTCATTCTACTGAAACAGCTCTTCTTAGGGTCTCTAATGACCTTCTGACTCAGTGATGCAGGGGACTGTTCTGTTCTGGTCCTGCTGGACCTGACTGCAGCCTTTGACACTGTTGACCATCACCTGCTACTGGAGAGGCTGAGAGACTGGGTAGGCCTATCAGGATCTGCTCTGGAGTGGTTCTCCTCTTATCTCTCTGCGCGCTCCTTTTCTGTGGCCGTCTCCAAGTTTAGGTCCTCCACGACCTCCCTTACCCATGGTGTCCCACAAGGCTCTGTGCTTGGGCTTCTGCTCTTCCTCCTCTATCTGCTTCCTCTCAGCACATCCTGAGCTCCTTCAAAGGAATCTCCTACCATCTTTATGCAGATGACATCCAACTGTACATCTCCTTTAAGCCCCATGAGATGTCTAAGCTGCAGCTGTTACACACCTGCTTAGACTCTATCATAACCTGGATGGTGGGAGCTTTCTTCAGCTGAATGAAGATAAGACTGAGATCCTCATCTGTGCCCCAGACAAGCTGGTTCCCAAAGTCAGAGACTCTCTTGGTCAGCTTGCTTCCCACACCAAACCTTCTGTCAAGAATCTTGGCATGACCTTTGACCCAGCTCTCACCCTGGATTCTCATGTCAGTTCTCTTGTTGGCTCTTCCTTCTTCCATCTCAGGAACGTTGCTAAGCTGAGTCCCATTCTGTCCCGCTCTGAACTTGAGACAGTTCTCCACACCTTCATCTCCTCACGCTTAGACTACTGTAACTCTCTTTTCACGTGTCTGAGCAGAACCTCCCTGAACCGTCTACAGGTGGTTCAGAACGCCTGTGCTCGGCTTCTGACCAAGTCCTCCAAACACACCCACATCACCCCGCTTCTCCTCCAGCTTCACTGGCTGCCAGTCAACTTCAGGGTTCATTTCAAGATCCTGGTTCTGGTCTATAGGGCCTTACATGGACAAGCACCATCTTACATTGGTGATCTTCTTAGTCCCTACACCCCCAGCAGGTCCCTGAGGTCCAGTGATCAAAGCCTACTGGTTGTGCAGCACCAGGCTAAAGGTCAAAGGTGACAGATCATTTGCTGCTGTGGCCCCCAGACTCTGGACCTCTCTCCCCCTGAGCCTGAGATCAGTGGACTCAGTGGTCTCCTTCAAAAAGCAGCTGCAGACTCAACTTGTTCAAGCTGGCTTTTGTATGACCTTCTTCACCTCTCTCTCTTTATTCTGCTCTCCCCACCTATTCCACCTTCCTCAGGATCCACTGATTTCCCTCTTTCCTGTTCACTCTCTCGCTTTCTTAACATTTTTCTTTTAAATCCCAATTGTCTATTTTTGCTCATTTTAAATATATTTGTAAACATTTTCTAAATGCTTTTTATATGTTTACATTTTTTGTTTTTGTGAAGCGCCTCATGATTTTTATCTTGAGAGGCGCTATAGAAATGATATTTTCTTCTTTTTCTTCTTCTTCTATAAGAGCACATAAGGTGAACAACACCACAGATTATTATTGTTATTATTATTGTACACTGTTTTGGATTTGTTTTCTTTCTGCATCTCCTCATTAGTCTGGCTGATCACCTGATAACTTATGTCATCTGGTTATGACAGCATGAGTGTGTCCTCACACACCTGTAACCTATCAGCTCATCTGGCAGAATAGAGAGAGAAGAGACAACACCGCATTTCCTGTTCCTGGAAAGCCTCCGGCCATCCTTCGAAGACTGGGAACCACCATCAGCTCTGTCTGCCTACAATTATTATAATAAATATTGTGTTTGACAAGTTTGGTGTGCTGCCAAAATGTCTCATTTTAATTCCAGTTTTTACATTTTATTGGATATTTATAAATTGCATTAATTGAATTATCACATTGATGCACGTTTAACTAGCTCTATTGTGATGAATTAAACTAGCACCTCACTGTCAAAAGCTCATTTTAAACTCAAGTGTGTTTAAATATTTATGGACATGAACAAAAACAGGCAATATATCAATTGAGGTTTATTTATTTAATTAATATAACAAATAACTGTTTAGAGGAGGAAGGGATCATTCAAAGGCACATTCTTCTGGGAGCTCCTGATCCTGACGACACCATCAGAGGATCACCTACGACCAAGAGAAAGCTGGTATCAGTAAATAATGAAATCAGGGCAATTTTAGGTGGAGGTTTGTGATTGTGTAGCATAAATGAACACATTACAGAATTTTCCCATGGGGTATTTTAATAACTTTCTCTGTAGCAGAGTAAATTTAGCCCAGGGTAGGTAGCCGTGTCCTAGAGAGCTGCTATCGACACGTTTCAGTGGTTTTTCCTGCTTTAACATGTTGGATTAGCTGTTCAGCAGCTCAGCTATTTGCTGCTGATTAAAACCAGGTGTGTTGAAGCAGATAAATAATAATAATACATTTTATTTAAAAGCGCCTTTCAGGTCACCCAAGGTCACTTTACAGGAGAAGGAACACAGTACACAATAAAAATACAGATAAAACAACTAAAGGACCAGTGTTGGGCAAGTTACTTCAAAACTGTAATGCATTATTTATTACTTGTTACCCTCATTTTAAAGTAATTAATTACATTACAATATTACTGATTTTAAAATGTAAGGTATTACACAACTTTTGCATTACTTTAAGTTACTTTCACCAATACAACTTCAATATGAATCTGGTAATCTGACACTCAGTGAGCTCAAGACATATATGTGGAAGGTGATGTGGTATGTGAGCTAGGGTTGCTGTTAAAAACAGTCAGATTTAATAGCAGTGCTTTAAAATGATTGTTTATTAAATAAAAGCAACAATCTGTACTCTCAGCATGCTGCCATCTTATATTAACTGAGCAGGGAATGAGGTGGTGGTGGGGGCTCCAAGCTTATATTTGCCTTGGTCCTCAAATGCCTCTATACGGCCCTGGATGTGGGACTGACTTCTGGGGTGATCTGATTCTATCACACGTATAAATATTAAATGCTTATATATTATTGCTTTTCACTGGTAAAAATGTCTATTGGGGATAAATCTACCAACTTTTTATCTTTTCAAGCACTTTGTTTTGTTTTCTTGATTTTACTTAAATAACTTCCTGCCCTTTCTCTCTCTAGCCTTCCTGCATGCTGCATGTTGTCTCTGTCTTCCAGAAAAAACGTTTCCTAGATTTTCTACTTTCTAACTAATCAGCCAAAGGGATCTACCGAACGCAAAAAAAAAAAGAAGCTTAATATGCACTGCGCTCCAGCAGCAATGAGTTGAAATCACCGGGGCACAGCTTATGAACTCAGCTGAAAAGTACATGAAGTACCAGAGAATATGGGCTGATATAAATGATCGCAAACAAATTACTTTGTTTTGGTGGAGCGATTTTGTGAACATAACAGCGGCCGCGCGCAGGACGCAGCTGGAGTATTTGAGCCGTTACCGCTGCGTCCTCTCTGCTCATAGAATGCCCGCAACGCTGAGTCCATAAATGACGTAATATATGTAGATACTGGATCTTTTTTCAGGCTTCCCGCAATTTGAATTTTTAGGAAACCCACATCTTGATTCTGGGTTTAAAAATGCATTGTAATTACCGCGTTACTGACAATTGTACCGAGTAAATATTACCATTTTCTGTCCCTGTAATGCCTTACATTACCACATTACAGCAAAAAGTAATGCATTACAGTAATTAATTACTTCTGTACCGCGTTACTTCCAACACTGTAAAGGACAAGTAAACAGAATAAAATAGATTAAGTCACAAACAATAAGCGGTTCGGAACAAATGGGTTTTGAGTTTGGTTTTGAAGAGGTTGAAGCTATCTGTGTTTCTGATGTCAGGAGCGAGAGCGTTCCAGAGATGAGGAGCAGAGCAGCTGAAAGCCCTACTACCCATGGTGCTGAGGTGGAATGAGGGAATTACCAGATGGATGGAGGAGGACGATCTGAGAGAACGGCAGGGTGTAGCAATGGTAATGAGGCTGGCAATGTATGGTGGGGATATTGAATGGATGGCTTTGAAAGTATGGAGTAGAATTTTGAAAATGGATCTTAGTTTAATGGGAAGCCAATGAAGCTGCTGGAGGACCGGGGTGATGTGGTGGAAAGTGTCAGTCTACTAATAATACGTGCTGCTGAATTCCGAACAAGTTGGAGTTTATGAGTGAGTTTGATAGGGAGACCACACAGAAGTGAATTACAGTAATCAAGGCGGGAGGTAACAAGGCTATTGACTAGGATGGCTGTAGCGTTAGACGTAAGGGAAGGACGAAGACGATTTATGGATCGGAGGTGAAAGTATGCAGACCGAGTTATGTTATTGATATGAGCCTGAAACGAGAGAGAGCTGTCGAGGATGACTGTCGAAGATAGACCTCTAAAACATGCTGGATAACAGCTCTCTAAGGCCGTGGAGCCAAACCCTGCAGCTAATCTAATGCTATGGCTAACGGCTACTTACCATTCAGAGCTGGTTCTGTTGGGTCGGTTCTGGTAGTTTCAGGCAACTCACAAGCTCAAAACAATAAGGCTCAGGTCCGCTTGCCACCTCCAAATAGACTTGGTCCCGTTCTTCTCGACTGTCTGGGTAAGGACGGCGAGAAACATCCTCCACTTCTAATGACTGCTCAGAGTGAAAAAAGCTAGCTTAGTCTCGTTACCCATCCGTCTTTGTCACTGCCGTGGCTCCGCCCACTCGGTCCTCCAGGCAACACCTACTAATGTTACAATTTTCAAAATTGATATGTGGGTGGAGAAGGACTCTGAGGCAGGCTTGACCAGCCCTTTAAGAAACTGAAGTAGTTCAAAATGTCCTAAAGGACATGTGGCCTAATATTAGACTTTATTCTTCATGTACTGAAAGTTGTAAAAAATAAAATAAAATCATGCTTTTTTAATTTGTTTTCAAATAAAGCGTTAACTGATATCAAAAGCCTGATGTCGTGATCAGTTTAAGACTCAGATGTGCAGGGTTTGAAGTAAACCCAATGTTTTCTTGAAATTCTTTTTAAATAAAGTTAAAGAATAAAACAAATAAGAACATTAAAAATACCAAAAGTCGTAGATAAGATAAGCTAAATGAGAATATGCTGACCACTTATGCATTTATGTTACTGTCTAGTTTTTATTTTTAATGTTTCTATGTGTTTTTTGCATTTATTTAACTTTGTTGCTTGTTTTATTATTTGGATATGTAAAGTATCCTTGTGTTTCTTGAAGACACTTATAAATGAAATACATTATTGTTAGTAGTAGTAGTAGTAGTACTAGCAGTAGTAGTAGTAAATGATAAAACGGGACAAAAAATAATGTTTTGGTGCAAAAATGCAAATTGTTTTAGAGCAAAAGAGAAAACAACAGCATGAATGCTGAGACAACATTTGCAATATGATTGAATCCTTTGTGTAAGAAAACAAGATTACAGACTGATAATGTTTCTGTGGTGTATTTTACAGCCAAGGCCCTAAACAAAGCGGCCTAAAGTGGGTCAAACCTGTTGGAACACACATTATCAGTCTACGGGGAGTTTGGAAAATATGCGTCTGAGTGTGCCAACTCACTTTGTTGCTCACCAAGCTTTATTTTCTGAGTGTCTCTACCTGGACAGGAGTCAGTGAGTATAAAGTTACCGTCACTAAAATAAAAATCTAGATTTTGAGTTCAGGTCAATGAGAATCTGCTTTTAGATGCATTTTTTAGCGGTTATCTAAGAGTCACCTTTGTCTCTTACGGAGAACTGAGTCAGATTTCATACACATGAACAGGAGGAAGTGAGTTAATGCAATGGCACAAATGTGAAGGACACACACGCATACACACACCTTGAGGTACTGCTGAAGCATAGACAGTTTGAGCTTCTTGGTGCTTTCAGAATCATCTGGATCCAGCATAATCCTCTTACGCACCAAGTCTCGCGTAAAAACTCCAACACTGTTCTGGCTCTCAGCACAAACTGGCTTCCCGTTCTGGAAGAACTCCTGAGTCAGCTCGTACACCTAGCGGAGGCCAGGAGGGGAACGGGAGAAAGAGGAAAGATGGTGAGAATGGTGAAACGGGGAACAGAAAGGAACCAGTTGTGTTTGGTTTAGCATATAACTCATCAGGATTGTGCAATTTTGGGTTTCCATAAAACAATACAAAGTCCATTAAAGGAATGAGGCAAAAAGTGGTGTTGCAACCTAATGACAGAGACTAAATTAAAAAGCAGGTCATGCTGGTGCCTTGACAGCACATTGGTTGGATTGAGTACATTTAAGCTTGATTACACCCTTAAAGCAACAATAAAGGCATGCATCAACATTTTTTAAGAGAAAACAGTTTACAGCATGACACCAGGCTGCCTCATCTTCTAGTTAGTCAGGGCGGAACTCTTTTCCAAGAAAAACACTGAACCGCAGGTTTACGGCTGCAGGCACAATATCTGAATATCTTTGTTGCGTTCATTCTTGGTTGATTTTCCAATTCCTTTGTTTTTTTATCTATTCTAGCAACGGTAAAAACCAGCTTTGCTACTAAAGATCTGAAAACAATGGACTAATATTTGAATGTTCACCAAGTCAAATCATTAAAAAATGATTTGAATTTTTAACAAAACGAGATTCTGAAATGTGACCTTATTTAGGTCAGCTTCACAGTTTTCAGACATCTTATAGATAAACGCTGTGGTTTTATGCATAAAACAAATAAGCAGAAGAGAAGGGAAACAGAAATCTCTCGAAATAGATTGTTTTTCTTACCGGTGGCATTTGGAGCGTCCACTCCCTCAACAGCACAAGTATTAAGCCTGGAGGATGAATGCAGAGTGCCGCTGCAGCAGGCCCACTCCCGAACACATTATAATGTTACTTGTGCAACCTTTAACTCATTCACTGCCATTGACGACTAAAGTTGTCATTTTAGATCCAACCGTTCACTGCCAAAGACGACTAAAGTCGTCATTTGCATTTTTTTACTTTTTGAGCATCGGAACGAGCCCCCGCGCTGAGAGAACAAACATCTCAGCCCTGAAGCCGATCTTCATCCGCATACGTCACACATCACATGATCAGGAAGCAACACATCCATGTGTTTGGAGATCGTTTTGGGCCGTTCCTGTAAAAAAAAAGTGAGGCGCGAACTAGGGCTGGGCGATATGACGATTTTAGACCGTTTTACGATCCACACATCTGACGGTCTGTCATTTTTGAGAGACCTTTTTATCACGATTCACAGCTCTGCTGTTGAATTTCTGCCTCTGAATGAAAATGGAACTTACCTCTGGCGAATGACATGCTTTTGTTTGACCCTTAACCAATCAGGGTGAGTCACGGTAATATATTAGCGCCCCGCTTGTTTTCACCTGTGTGTGAACAAACATGGCTTCGGCCGCGGCTGAGAGCGACAACGAGGTTTTCGTTCCGAAGAGGAACGCCTCCGTCCCTTATATGGAACTGGTTCGGTTTTTCACCAGATGACAAAGAGCAGCGAAACGTCATTTGCAAGGAGAGCGTCAAGGCGAGTGATGGCAACACCACAAACTTGTTTAATCACTTGAAAAGAAGGCATCCCAAACAATACAATGAGAGCCAGCTGGCAGCTAAAGCTAAAAAGCCTGCAGCGGCAGCGGCTAGTGCTTCTTCCAGGCAGCAAACGCTAACAGAAACACTCACAAAACTCACTCCTTACGACAGAGACAGCAGACGATGGAACAGCGTGACCGATGCAGTGACGTACCACTAGGTTAAAGATTTGTGTCCCGTGCGAACAGTAGGAGCGGGATTTAAGAAAATGATAAAAACATTGGATCCGCGCTACGAGTTTTCCAGCCGCAAGTGTTTTTTGAACACCGCCATTCCACGCGTGTACGCTGAATGCAAAGTGAGAGTTGCAGAAAATATTCAGAATGTGCAGTTTTTTGCTACTACAAGCGATCTCTGGTCCAGCCGCACATCAGAGCCGTATTCGAGCTTAACTATCCACTACATGAGCAACTGGGAGCTACATAGTATTTTGAACAAGTTAATGTTTGCACAATACGTTTGCAATTGACATGTTTGCACTTTAAATATGTTTATGATTTTAATTTATGTTAAGTTACTTGAAAAACGAGAAAAACTGATTTTTGTAATTGTTTCTCTCAGGGCTTTTATCATCTCTGGTTTGAGTTTAAAATATAAGTGTGTTAGCACTGTGTTGATTATCCCTAATATGAATAAATGTTTATTTATTCAATGTTTCTCTTCTTTAATACGCAATTGAAGTTATGCTATTCATGGATAAATCATGATAAAATCAAAATCGTGATAAAATATTGGAAAAATCGTGATATTCTATTTTTGCCATATCGCCCAGCCCTAGCGCGAACCGGAAAAGCATCTGCCGATCACAATTCGACAGCGGATTATGAAAGAAAGGATAACGCTCGAAACACACGGCTTGTTCCTGATGTAAGAGGTGAGTCTCCTCTTTGTTTTGGTTGTTTTGGCATCGACATCATGCTAGCGCGCAACGTTCTGTGACTCTTAAAAAAACAGTAAAAACGGTGAGAAACGCTGGCAGCGAATGAGTTAATGTCAGGAGTTTTAGAGGATAGGATCACTCTTGTGAGTTTCATTTAAATTAGTTTTGTGGTTCATGCGATATTTTGATTTTTGAACCATTAGAATATTTATAAATTTGGATACAGGGAAAAACTGAAGTCATACAACCATTAACAAAATCAAAATGACATCAATGTGTACCGAAGCTTATCTCTGTAATTGCTTTTTCAGACATGAACTAGTTAAACAAAAGAAACCATAAAACAGCCATAAAGAGGAAACTGACTTTCATGAGTGAGGGGAAAGTTCAGTTCTCGTTTGTTGCAGAGTTAGTTTAAGATGTTTAAAGGTTTTGTTGAGAACTGTGGAACACCAGGTCTTAAGCCTAATTTATACTTCTCCGTCAGCTCCACGAGGGAGAGACATGCACAAACGGAGACAATTTGTCCTCAAATGGGCCATTCCCATCTGTACCGGGTCGGCCCGGGCCGGGTAGCGTAGGTTGTTTACATATCTGGGTGGCCTGGTATTGTTCCGGGCCAACCAAGGCTCATTCTCAGCCCTCTTCTCGAGGGGGTCTGCTTCAGGCCGACCAGGGCCAACACACCCACTGCTGACAGCAAATTCACACCTTCCATTAGAGCAAGCCTCTGATTGGTGGGTAGAATCAGCCCACATGGGCTTAAGGCAAGGATGTGTGGAATCAACCGGGCCAGGCTGGGGCCGACTGGCGCTACCCGGCCCGGGCCGACCCGGTACAGATGGGAATGGCCCAAAACTTCTCTGTCTCCTGGGGAGTGTTGCAAAGCAATTCCCCGCCAGGTCAACAGAGGGGGGTGTGCTGTTCTGTGGTACCCTGTCATGTATCTGGTCCATAATAGTGTGTCTCCGTCCGTCCTGGCGAGGGCTCTCCAGCAGGCTAACAAGGACGGATAATGGCATTGTGTGCGTGTGTCCTGACACAGACGACGACGTATAAATTAGGTTTTTTCTCTCATATTGAAATAGTTTGTTTACTTGTCTTTATTTATAAATTTGAGCCAAGTTTGATCCAAGATGTACGTCTCATCCATGACTTTGGCTCACAGATTCAGCTTCAGCGCATGAAAATGTGAACTCACTTGACCACGTTCCATTCCTGTGTGCTCACATTCTTCCTCACCTCATTGTACAGGTCACTGAACTCTTCCACCAGGTCCTTAGGGATCCTTTTCCCGACATTAGTCTGGTAGTGAGCCACGCCATTTTTGGTGTACAGGCTGATGCGTCCCACGCTCCTCTCTCCATCTGTGGTGTGCTCCAGCAGCCCGTTCTCCTCTGCCAGGTGGTACACCGGGTTCCCATTGGCACCATGGATCCAGGTTGCGCCGAGCTCCAAAGTTGCTTTTCCTACAAATGAGAAAAATGGAAAAATTAATTCCTTTGCCTTTCCTTTTATAGCTTGTAGCTGTGAATAAAATCTCAGCGCAAAGAAAATCGTGACTGGCTCAGGTGCAGTCACTTCTGAGTGTTAATGATAATCAGAAAGAGGTCAACTCTATTAACATACAGGAACGGCTGAATCCCACTGGAAGACCTCACGTTTCCCATTTTAAATTTAGAACAACACAAAACACAACCTATTTTACTACACATATATATTTCATGAGAACTGGTTGGTGCACAGATGAGCTGTGAAACTCTAAATGTTTCTGTTTTCTGACATTTAAGCCAATAAAATGAATTTAAAAACAAGCTCACCAAACCTTGTGTCTGACATTCAACAAGGATTTGCATATTGTAATTTACACTTGACACCTCTGGTGAGCACAATGCCACAAGTAAACTTGTTTTCATTCATCTAAGTGTTTCATGATGAAAAAAGAACAGGGGTCTCATTTATCAAACATTGTGTAGAATCCTTACTAAAACCGTACTTAAGCTCAGCAAAAAAAATTTACTTACGCCAAGTAGGTTTGTGACCAAGAAAACATGGAGTACGCACAGCTGCACACAATCTATGCTTTATAAATCAGAGACTAACAAAAGGTTCTCAGCTGCTTTTTAGTCACATCCCATTCACACACATTTCCCCGCTACGTTTTCTTTTATAAATCCCAAAGTTTGCGTGGAAAGTTACGCAGTTTTACGTCCCCGTTTTGTGTGTAAGCAAGCTTGATAAATGAGGCCTCTGAACGGTTAGATCCTATTTGTTTGTTTGTTGCGATTGTTTGTTTTGCACTATCCTACAGGGTACTACTGTAGATCATTTTTTACTGTATATATTGTATATCATATTTCTATTTCACCTGTTTCTTTGTCTCTCCTACTGCTTTGGGCATGTACATGACACAAGAATTTCCCTCGGGATAAATAAAGTTGTTCTTATCTTATCTTATTTTGTTGAAAACAGCTATATTAGTTAATAAATGCTTAAGGCGTTGAGTCATTCCCATGTTCCTACACTCTGTTCACAGCACCCAATGTTCCTATAGACTCGGTGGTGAGTTTTTACATCACCTTTACCAGCACATTAGCATGAGGCCCCTAATTTTCTGCCACGGCAATTAAATAGTGTGTTTGCATTGTTCACTAACAACTTAGTTCAGTTTTTCTTTGTAATAAAATCCTGATTGACCACCTCTGCTGGACCTTGAAAGGGTCTTTTTTAAACCAAGAGTGTTTATCTTGGTTGGTACCAACTTTGTTTCTTCAGTTTTCAGAGAAGCCTTGAGCTTAAGGGGTGGTTTTCATTAACAAACCCAGGCTGTGTTTTCATTTGAGGTGTGTTAGTCTGGTTTTCTTCCAGACCACCGGAACAGACATAATAACTCATACTTACAGACATTTGTTTGGACTGCTGATCTTGGAATCCAAAATTATTCCGAAACTACTCCAGAAGATGCTCCTAAGCTGAAAGTCGTACTTCTTTCATCTGCATTGAGTTTCTATTGTTCTGAATATAGATCAGTCCAACAAATGCTCTAAAAAATGTTTTAGGCTTGGAAAGAGAAACCACCGATCACAGTCAATCATGACCAAGCCTTGGTCTTTACAAGATGAACAACAATATAAACCCTCAGCACCATTTATTGAACTATTTTAGTAGAGATGTAAGAAAATATCGACATGGCAATATATTGTGATATTGTTTCCATACATAATATACAATATATCGTGATATATTGTATCGTCTCTAGGGCTGCAGCTATCAAATATTTTAGTATTCGAGTGAATCTTCCATCGATTTATCAAGTATTCTATTTGACAACGTTTCAAGTGAAACGAGATTATGGTCTGCTGCTAAAAAAATGAAAATAAAAAAGCAAAACTGTAAAAGGCTCAACAATATATATTAAATTGGTGTTGTCTAGTTCCCTCTTTCCCAGCTGATATTTTAAATATTTATGGAACATTTGACTTACATTTCATTCACAATTTAGGTTTGTATTGACCTCATCCTAGTCAAAATAACAGATCCAAATATCAGTCCGCGTCCAGTCCATCCACGCACACACACACACACACACACACACACACAGACAGTAACGGATCTCTCTGTGCTTGCTTCACTGTTCACGTTTCTTCAGTACTCCCTATGTTTTCTTCAGTTTGCTTCTTTTTAAAGTTATTTAAAGTTACTTTTTTCGTAGCGTATGTGGTGCATTTGACAAGACAGAGCTGAAAACGGCTCGTGCTGCATCAGTCACTCACTGCCTTCGCTCCGGTCTGGTTATTTTTCCCTCTCCCTCTCTCCTCTTCCTCAGGATCCACTCCCTCTTTCCTATTCACTCTCTTTCTTTCTTTACATTTTTAAATCACAATTGCCTATTTTTTGCTCATTTTAAATATATTTTAATCATTTTCTAAATTATTTTTTCTATTTTACATGTTTTGTTTTTGTGAAGCGCCCCGTGATTTTTGGCTTGAGAGGCGCTATAGAAAAGATCTTTTCTTCTCTCTCTCTCTCTTAATTCATGCACTTAAATATTAATGTTCTGATTTTATTGAAAAACTTGTTCTGTAATAGTTCCTTTACTATTGTGATCAAAAACATTTAATCTCAACTCTGAGGCTGCTCTGTAAATAGTTTTCAAATAAACAATACACATAGCAACTTCTGATGAGACTTAAAATAACGTATTGATGTAAACCACACCCACTTCCGGGTTAGGCCACGCCCACTCCATACAGATACAGATAATTTAGATGGTTGAACAGATACAGATAGTGGTGTACTCGCTCATCCCTAGTTAACGTCTAACGCGCATGACTCTCACCCGAGAGTCTGGGGATCGAATCCCACCCGGGCCCTCGTTTCTCCACCTTGCCACAATTTGATGATTCGTTTCAGCCCTAATTATCTCCCCTGTAACACAATATGTATTGTATTGCCATAATTTCACCTATACACATCCCTATATTTTAGTGAATGTGCATTCATGTATGGTGTTTTTAAATGTTTGAAACAAAGAAATTTGACATTTTGCACTGTTAAACTTTTATCGCTACCACTTACTCAGTACTTAAATACCAAAAATTTGGGTAAGAATGACTCCGACTAACCGTGTTGAATGCTCTGAACTCTCCCGCCAATGTGGTCAGACGCCTCTAGGACTGTGACATCCGTGAAGCCGTTTTTCAGTAGGACCTTTGTTGCAGCAAGGCCGGCCAAGCCAGCACCAATCACTACTATTCGAGGTTGCCGATGAGTGCAAAGGATGCTACTAAGAGGATCATCAGTGCTGTCTGAGGAAATTTCACAACTTTGCATGCCGTCCGAGCTTCTCTTCGGTGGAGTCTAAGGGATGAAAGACATGGATGAAGAATCAACACTGATAACAAAATGACAGTAATTTGATTACAGTCTAATTAAGTCGTGTACACTTTCACATCATCTGCATAATGTTTGCTAAAAGCCATTAAATACAGTATAAACATCTATTTATACAACATAAAAGCAGCAAAGTATCTTATTTAGTGTATGCAAAGTACAGCGACTATAAACTGTTCACATATGGTGGTGTGTGCACAAATTACCTATGAAACTATAATCTCACGTGACCTTTTATTGATGGGGTGAATCCAACTAATAGTTACACCCCATAATAATGAAAAGGGGGATAAATCTTTTCCACTGAAACACAACCCAAAAGGGTGTTTTGTTGTTCTCTTGGTTGATTTAATCCTCTAAAACTTGCATCTGTCTAGCCAAGCACCATAATTTGGCCTATTTGGAGCTAATTAGGCGCTGACTGTAGAGAGCCTCTTTTTACAGGCGATTTGTGCTTTTATTGGCATTCCACTTACTATGACCCACATTTACAGCTGTGTTTATGACTGTAATCAGCTGAATTTAGACTCTTTTATTTCGTGACATGTTTACATTGTCCCTGTCTTCTCAGTCTGAATGACTAAATTAGAAGGCTCTAAGCAAATCGTGTTATTTCCGTCAGAGAGCTGAGCGTACACAAAAGAGCGACTTCTTATTACAGCGCTCTAAATTACACAGAAAGTTCCTAGACGCCAATGTTCGGAGCAAATAAAGAGCACACAGCTGACTTGGTTGTTCCAGCACAAGGCCGCTCGTGGTCCAAGTGTGGGTTGCTGTGTGGGAAAAACACACAATAGGAAGTTGTTCATTTTTATAAAGAAATGTACCAATTTTCCACATCTGCATATGAACATTTAGTCTTTGTCAAATTATCTGACTTATATAGGTCAGTGTTAGCTCTTCAAGGTAATCCTGCTTTACTCGCACACACACATACTCAAATGCTCAGCTCTGTTACCACGGCAACACTGGCGAGAGGGCGGAACATGTACCGCTACGTAGGGACCACACGTTGAGTTTATCTCAGCTTAAGGTCACCTAGCAGGAAAGACTTTTATTTTTAAATCTGCGTTTGAATCAAACAGAACCCATTTCTTTATGTTCTGATCGGCCAACGCACCAGCAGTGTGTGACCCGTAAGCACAAGATAGCCATCTTCACTGGGTCAATGTCGATTCATCGTGAGCATCTGATGAAACCGAGTTGCAAGTGAGCTGACTGAGATAAAACTGTGAGTCATCAGACCAGCAGGGAGATGACACCAGCAGAGAAGAAACCACGAGCCAACGCTTCAACATATCATATGTATTGGAAACATTTATCATTGGCAACGCAGACAGGACATGGAGAGTTTACTGTAAATCTGATTTAACCATAAGTGCTGTTTGACCTCTAAAGCAGATGTGGGTTAAATCCGCAGGCATCAACACGTAACATCCGACCTGACATCACAGCCCTCGGCCAGGATGTGGGTCACACACCTCGCAGGTTTAATGAACAGGCAACGGAAAATGGCTGGATCAGATTCTGTCCTTTACTGCTGCAGAGCAACATCCACCTAATGTAGAACTTTACCTCCTCCCAATAAATGTTTTTAGTAAATCAATTTTCAGCTTTTTGTTTTTACTGCACTGCTTCTTAAAACATAAACGTACACTGCTGGAAATAAAACCAAGTTTCACTTCCACTGCTGTCACGTTCTATGAAACCATCCATGCTCTTCTTGAGAAAAGTCATTTAAAAGAACAACTGCCTTCCCAGAATCAAAACGTTCATACAACTTTCACATGAATGGACTCATTCATGGAACAAAAAGAGCATGGAAATGAGAAGAGCATAGTGAACTCTTTTCACTTTTGCAAAGATAACATTGATAAGCTAATCACCTGAAACAACACAGGCTGAAACGTTTGTAAATGGGGCTGTGTAACTGCCACCAGCAACACTTCTACCCACTGTAAGGTCCTAGCTTGTGAATAAACAGTATTTGTCTTGAATTACATTCATTTCTTTTACATTAATACAGCCAAACGTTTGACCGATGCTGTGTACAGGTTCACTTTTGGCCTCTAGAGGTTTCAAAGGTTAAAATGTTCCCTTTACTAACCTGAATTGATGATACTGGTTTGTGACAAAACCCACACGGGAATGGCAAACTTAAAAAAACAAACTGTGTAGAATGTTTACAATGGTCTTGAGTCAGAAAAGGGTGGAAAGTCTTCTCCAGGTCAGGGATGAGATCCAACCCAAAGTGGAAGAGGTTAAGTATCGGGGCCTTGTTCTCAAGTGAGGGAATGATTGAGCGCAAGATCGATAGGTGGATTGGTGTTGCGTCTGCAGTGATGCGGGCGCTGTACCGATCTATCGTGGTGAAGAGAGAGCTGAGCCAGAAGGTGAAGCTCTCGGTTTACCGGTCAATCTACCGTCCCACCATCAAAGGAAGACCCAGGACACGCTGGAGGGACTATGTCTCTCAGCTGGTCGGGGAACGCCTTGGGATTCCCCTGGAGGAGCTGGCCCAAGTGGCTGGTAGGCCAGGAAGTCTGGGCCTCTCTGCTTAGGCTGCTGCCCCCGCAACCCGACCCCGGATAAGCAGACGACAACAGGTGTTTTCATATGTCGTAGATATATTGTGTGCTTCTGTTATAATGGACGTTTATAACCTACAGTTACAACTTTTCTATGCAACACAAGCTCTTAAAAAACTGACAAAATTTACATTTATTAATAGTTTTATAAAAGGTTTTCACTACCTGTTCACAATCAGATGCAATTAAAATATTTTTAAAATAATGGTTTATTTGCCTAGTTTAAAAAAATATATTTAATTCATTCAGTGGCTCTATTGTAGTGTAAGTTATAATAGGCTTAATTAGGGATGCTCAATATTGGCTTTTTATACCAATATCCGATGTATCAATATTGTCGACTCTTAATTTCCGATACAATACAATATATAAAAGCTGCGTCATCAAAGGACTGAAAGCCGACACCGATATTTTCCGATATTAAATTTTAACGCCGATATCGGCGGATATTAATGGTAGACCAATAATATCAAACACCCCAGGCTTAATAGTGTAAAGGAAAATAAGGGTGTTCTGTCATTTTTATTCAGCTATAATGTGAAAATTGTTGTTTGGCCTTTAAAACACTTGCAGCTGAGTGCATTTTTTGTTGGTGACATGGTGAATTAGGCTGGCATAAAACTATTACATTTGTAGTTAATATTAGGGATTCATGATATATCGGCATCAATAAAAAAGCGGGTACAGAAAATGGATGGATGGATATTCAACGCTATTTAATAATTCTTATTATGTTATTATTTATCGTTTTATGTTTTGAATTAAGATGTAAGAAAAGTAAGTGAATAAAATATCTGCATTGCCCCTTTTCCTGGGAAAACTGACTCACAGATTCAAGGACGTCATGTTGTTCACGTGTAATCCTGTAAAAGTTTTTACCCTTTTTGTAAACGAAATCCTATTTTCAGACGACATACAGTTGGATCCATAATGCCATTAAAAAAAAACAATAAATAATTTCACAGATTGCTCATCCCTTCCTGTAATTCTGTGGTTTGGTAAACACACTCGCCACGTGTCACGGCTTCGAGCTTTCCTCAGATTATTGAGTGGGCTGGCCTTGGGTGGGGTGCAGTGTGTGTGTGTGTGTGTGTGTGTGGGGGGGGGGGGGGGGGGGGTGTCTACCACTGACCTAGAAATAGCAATCTACAGAACATTGTGTCCGCCGGTGGTCTCTTCTAGAGCTGGGTCATCTTATCTGTGCTCCTGTGTCTCATCATTGCTGCTTTATCTGTGAAAGCAGCTCCATACAAAACATTACATCTGCATTTCCTTTACGGCCCGTAGGATGGGAAAAAATAACTTTTCTACATCCTTGCACGATACCGCTGCAGTTTAGTCTTGAGGGGCGCGTGCCACAAGGGCCAGAGGAGTTCCAAACGTCCCCTATAGCACAGATTATCCCATTATGATGTGATGATGAAGCGGAAGCGCCACGTGCGGACACAACCACGGCACACAGCTGAGAAAAAAGAAAGCAGTGCCCTGAAAGGCTAATGGAGTCGTTTTGGGTCAAATGCAATACAGAGATGTATATTAATCTATAGTTTTTCATTTTTTACTAAATGGCCCAATTTTTACTTTTCTCAGCTTTACTGGTACCTACAATCACTACTTAGGTTTACTACTGGTTTATAATATTTTTTCATTTTCATCCATCCATCCATGAAACCTGAACATATTTTGGGTGGGATGGTGTAGAAGTGGGGGAACAAAAGCCAATTAACTGACCACAACTTTGACATTTTTCCTAATCTGTGAATCGATGATTTGATCTAGCAATAAATTAATATATTTTTAGGTCAATCAGAAATTTCAATCTCATGCAGTTTGTTTTGTATATTTGTATCATAATGGCCCACACAAGACAAATTCAGGGCAATCCTTAAAAAGAAGGCAATGTATTTAACTTTAACTACATAATGAAAATCGAAACAGATATGGATGATAAACTGAAACATTAGAAAGTTACAAATTGCGTTTAAACACCAAAACAAAGAGTTTTCGCCCTGAATGTAGCTTCTCGTTTGCATTATCACAAACAATTCCACAATATTATAGATGCAATAATACACAGTTAGTTACAGGTTATGGAGTTTTTTTAGAAACTAAAATAGAATAGAGCCAGTTTTGATGAGAGATGAGCGCAAAGCCAGTGGGACAGAGGTCTGATCCGTCAGTTGCGTAGTGAAGCTGCCACGTATAAGCTGGCATGCCAAAGTGGCAGGAAACGACTTCACTCACAAACTCCAACAAACAGACCCAAAAATAACAACCTGTGATAGTTAACTATAAACAGCTGGCACATAAGAAGTCTGCGCTCGTGCTGTTAGCCCCGCTACATCCAGGCAGAACGTTTGTTTTGGTGTGCGCGTGCTCTCTGATACTTTGTAGTGACAGAGAACAGAACCACCTGGGTGACGCTCAGTGTAGCAGGTCGCCCCCAGCTCCGTAAACCACCTTCTGTCTCAGTATTTTCATCGACTGATACACTATCGCACGCAGCCTGCTGTTGTTTTGGTTCCAGCCGCCGCACGCGCCATCACCGTCCCATTAGTGAGCCAGGGTCTTTTAGGAGCTGCTGCTTACCTGACTCACTTGGTCTTCAGCGTGAAGAATAAACCTCAGAGAGCTCCGCTTCCCTTTGTGACCGTTCCTCTTTCAGAACACCGGCTTCGCTTTGTATTTATGTCTGGAAACCAGCAGCAGCCAGTTCTCCCCGTGGCCGCTGCCTCCTCATGAATAATTCATGAAGAGTGACGTCAGAAGCCTGCCCTCTACTGAGTCAGGCTGCTGTAATTGGCCCAGCTCTCACACACACACACACACACACACACACACACACACACACACACACACACACACACACACACACACACACACACACACACACACACACACACACACACACACACACACACACACACACACACACAGAGAAAATTTTTACTCTCATTATTGATGATTCAGAATCAGACAAACGTCACCTAAGTAGAAACAAAGTGCAGTTTTCACATAATGATTTCATTTATTAAAGAAAATCATGGCAGCAGTAGCTCAGGAGATAGAGCGGGATCACACGTGGTTATGCGTTGTATTCTGGGAATGTGAGTAGACATACGGCCGTGAAAACAAACAGTGCAATGCAGAGAAGAAGCAGATTTGGGAGAAAGGAAGTGTTAAACATAAAATCCTCAAAAGAATGCAGAATATACAGAGATACGTTGAATAGAGAAGTCTGGGACCAGCATTAGCCTTGTAGCCTATGTGTGTGTGTGCACGAAGGAAGAAACTATGTATGAAAAACGTACATCATCTGTAACTTACCAGAAGGTGTTTGATCGCCTTACAGCAGCGATCCAAATGACCCGACAAGACTTTATGTTAGATACATGGTTATGTCTCAGAGCTGGAAAACGATGAAAAGTTAGCCCGTTTTCCACCTTTTTTGCTTGCGTTGCACCCCAGAACACAGCAACAATTTACCATGGTACTAATAAAATGCCTTGCAGCAAGAAGGTTGCAGGTTTGAAACCCAACTGCAGCCTTTATGCGTGGAGTTGTATATTCTCCCCATGCATGTGTAGGTTTCCTCCGCGGACTCCGGTTTCCCCCACAAATCACAACGTGCCCTATAAATTTACAATTGTACGTCGCTTTAATAAAGCATCTGCCAAATGAATAAACATAAATGAATAATAGATTAAACAAAGCCACAAAACTGAGGCTGTCTGTAGTAACAAGAAACAAGTAAGGACTCAGAGGCCACCAACGTGGGGGCCACACCGGTGATGATGACACAATGCCAAGCCCTTTAGGAGGGTTGCAGGATAAATCCCAGCTCCCAAAAGAGAATGCTGCTGTTGTGTTCTTGGGTAAGACACTTAACCCACCTTGCCTGCTGGTGGTGGTCGGAGGGACCGGTGGCGACTGCGCAGAGTGCTTCACCTCTGTTGGTACGCCTTAGGGCAGCTGTGGCTACATTAGCTCATCACCATCAGTGTGTGAATGGATGAATGATACATGGTGGTGTAAAGAGCTTTGAAGTCTTTTGACTTTGAAAGGTGCTGTACAAGTATTGATCATTTATAATGCATTTAGTGTGATAAGCTGTTTATTGAAAGCTGAGTTTTCAGTCAAAAAACAAAAATCCGGACTTGCGCTGCTCTGGGTGGCTGCATGTTGGAGTAGCTCTGTTGACTATATGTAAGTTTTGCCTTTTCTTGGACATTTTTTCTTCTAGTTTCTCAAGAAAAACAGTATTTTTTGGACATTTTTATTTTTCTGTTTGTGGTGCTGTGAAGCTTGGAGGATTTTTACTGCTATTTTTTCACTTTTTTCACTTTTTGAGCATTTGTTATGATGTGTAACGATGGCAACAAGCTGGTTTACAACCGGGAGCAGCTGATTAACATTGGAAAGGCTGAAATAATACCTCAACTGAAGCCACAAATCCCAAATGAGCTAAAACGGAAGAAGCGTGGTTGCAGAGCAGGAGCAAAATGGAGACAAAGAGGAAATTCAAACCATCTCTTCCATCGATCATAATGGGCAATGTGAGATCCCTGGCCAACAAGATGGAGGAACTCCTAGCCCTTTCAAGGACTCAGCCAGAGTTTCGGCAGCGTAGTGTTATGTATTTCACTGAGACGTGGCTGCAGGACCATATCCCCGATTCCAGCATCTCTCTGCCAGGATTCCTGACTGTATGAGCAGACAGAGATCTGAAGAGGAGCGGGAAAAGAAAAGGAGGTGGAGTGGCAGTGCTTGTCAACAACAGATAGTGCCATCCAGGTCATGTTTCAGTGAAATGTCATCTCTGCAGCCCAGATGTATATGTTTATGTTTATGTATTTAGCAGACGCTTTTGTTCAAAGCAACTTACAAATGATAATCGGCATGTTGCCCTTGAGGCTAACAACAACAATAACAACAACAACTTGACATCAGTCATGGAGAGGAGGGAACAAGGAGTGGACAGTAGAGAGGGGAGACGGGTGCAGGGAGGGTGCTAGTTTAGAAGATGCTCTCTGAAAAGCAGGGTCTTCAGGAGTTTCTTGAAAATTGAAAAGGAAGCCCCTGTCCTGGTAGTGCTTGGGAGATCATTCCACATTTGTGGAACGATGCATGAGAAGAGTCTGGATTGTCCTGAGTGTGGTGTAGGCACTGCTAGCCGACGATCCTGTGATGACCGGAGCGGCCGGGCCGAGACGTAAGCCTTTGCAAGAGGATTCAGGTAGATGGGAGCCGTACCATCTCGGACATTGTATGCTAGTGTTAGCAATTTGAATTTGATGTGTGCTGCTAGTGGTAGACAGTGGAGCTCAATGAACAGAGGGGTGACGTGTGCTCTTTTTGGCTGATTGAAGACCAGACACGCCGCTGCGTTCTGGACCATTTGAAGAGGTCTCACAGTACAGCCTGGAAGACCAGTTAGAAGAGCATTGCAGTAATCGAGGCGGGAGATGACAGTAGATTGCACCAGGAGCTGGTTGGCATGTTGTGTTAGGTATGGTCTGATCTTTCGTATGTTGAACTCTTGGCAGTAAGTTGTCGCCCATATTATTTGCCAAGATAGTTCACCAGTGTTGTCTTGAAAACTATTTATATTCCACCTTCAGCCATTGCTGAAAGTGCATGTGATGCCATCAGTTCTGTTGTCGCTAAGCCACAAACCCAGCACCCCAATGCATTTGTGGCTATATCTGGTAATTTTAATCATGTCTCGCTCTCTGCTACACTTCCAACATTTCAACAGTTTGTCAACTGCTCCACCAGAGAAAACAAGACATTGGATTTGTGTTATGCAAATGTAAAGAATGCATACATGTCCAAAACAAGACCTCCTCTGGGACAATCAGATCACAATCTTGTTTTTCTCTGCTCAGAATACAAACCACTTGTTCAGAGGCAACCTGTGACAAGAAGAACTGTGAGAAAATGGTCACAGGACGCCGAAGAAGCCCTGCAGGGTTGTTTTGAGACCACAGATTGGATGACTCTCTGCCAAGGATATGAAGAGGACATCAATGCCATGACTGGATGTGTCACTGACTATATAAACTTCTGTGTGGACAAAATCATACCCACCAGAACAGTGAGATGCTTCGCTAATAACAAACCCTGGATCACCAGTGAACTGAAGAATCTGCTAAATGAGAAAAAAGAGCCTTCAAGGAGGGAGACAGGGAATTATTGAGGAGTATACAGAAGCAACTGAAGATCAAGTCAGGAGATGCTGCTGACCCATTTACCTCCCCCTCCCACCTATCTGTCTCTAGAAGTCAGGTGAAGAGGCAGCTGGAGAGACTGAACAGGAACAAGGCTGCAGGTCCAGATGGTGTCAGCCCCAGGGTACTGAAGGCCTGTGCAGAGCAGCTCTGTGGGATCCTGCAGCACCTCTTCAACCTCAGCCTGGCCCAGGAGAAGGTTCCAGTCCTGTGGAAGACATCCTGCCTTGTTCCAGTTCCAAAGAAAACTCACCCATCAGTCAATGATGACTACAGACCGTTGCACTGACATCGCACATCATGAAGGTCCTGGAGAGACTCCTGTTGGTCCACCTGAATAAGCAAACTAGGACATATCAGGACCCGCTGCAGTTTGCTTATCGCCATGGAGTTGGAGTTGAAGATGCCATCATCCAGCTGCTTCAGCCAACCAACTGTCATCTGGACAAAGCAGGCAGCATTGTGAGCGTCATGTTCTTTGATTTCTCCAGTGCATTTAACACAATCCAGCCTGATGTACTTTGCCAGAAACTCCAGAAGACACAGGTGGGGACCTCAACTATCGCCTGGATTAAAGACTAGCTGACAAACAGACCACAGTTTGTGAGGCTGAAGAACTGCACATCAAACCAGGCGATCAGTAACATTGGAGCACCACAGGGGACTGTACTCTCACCATTCCTTTTCACCCTGTACACCTCAGACTTCCAGTACAAATCAGAGACCTGTCATCTACAGAAATACTCAGATGACTCTGCAGTTGTCAGGTGTATCAGAGATGGACAGGAAGCTGAGTACAGAGAGCTGGTTGAGCGCTTTGTGGCATGGTGTGGAAACAATCATCTGACCTTGAACGTGAACAAAATAAAGGAGATGATTTTAGACTTCAGAAGAAACAGGGTGGAGTCAAATACTGTTTCCATCATGGGAGAAAAAGTGGAGGTGGTTGAGGAATACAAATACCTTGGAGTTCACCTGGACAACAGACTGGATTGGAGAAAGAACAGTGTTGGGGTCCTGCCTTCATGAGAAAATTACTACGCAGTATTTTCTCCAAAGGACTGTGCCATCTACGCCCTGAAGCGTAGACAATAAAGCATGTTAATATCAGCGCCAGCGGGGACTCCATGTCCCATGATCCTCTGCAGCCGGCAGCAGCTAGATGATGTCATCAAGTGACGCTAAGTCTGACACGCCCCGGTGGATACTGGCCCCTACAGAGACCGCCCGCTGGACGAGTCTATAAAGCCGAGGCGCAGAGCGGAACTCTTTCTCTTCCCGTCCAGTTCATCTGGTGTAAGGAGACCCCCCCCCCCCCCCCCCCCCCCGCCTCTGCTCCTACCACTCCAGACAGCGTGCTAGCTGCTGAGATCAACGGACCAACGCCATCTGATCTGCTCAGCCCAGACACAGAGGGACGCCTTGTGTTCGTTCATGCATGATTTTTTCTTTTTTTATCTCTCTCTTTCTCTCCCACTTCTCTAATAGTCCAACACAAGCAGTCGACCACGTGACTGCTTTAAATTAACAGAC